TTCACGCCCGACGCCGACCGATTAACTTGCGACCCGGTCACTAACCTGTCCAGTTCGTATGTTAAAATCAGCTAATTATGCATTTGGTAAAAGTAAAACCAACAAAAAAACCTGACAAAATTCAGATTAATCCGCAATCCAGTATTATTGGTTAAACCGGTTGTGCGAAGGTTTTGTTTTTAAAACCCTCATAAAAGCTTTGTTTTATCTTTATATAATAGGATTGTAACTAATAAATTAAGATTTTGCAACATAGTGTACATTTTGAATACAAATGAAACGTGTTGAAAATAAGAAAACTGACTGTCCAAGATTGGTTCGATGGTGAACTACTTTCACGTTTAAAGATAAATCGTTTTTATTGGTTTCGAAAGTTATATATACAAAACAAAGTATTTCAAAGATATATCGTTTCATTGATTTCGAAAAAGTAATAATAGAAGAAAAGGGAAGCAAATTAGTCCAACTGCTCCATGCTTAAAAGCCTAAAACGGAGATGCATTATGAATTAAAGGAACTTGTGAATGTACTGACCCATAATTTAAATATCCAACTGTTTATGATTTCTTTCGTAATATTATTGCTTTGACTTTTATCATCATCGATTCTGGTTTTGTGAACCAATTACACGGGGTAACTTAAATAAAAAAAAAGATAAAGAAATGTAATTACTTTTTCTTTTATTTAACACTCATGGATTGTGTAATCTGCATGCAACGCATGGACTTTATGACAAAGTGAATTGCATTTATATATTGACGAGAGAAAGGTTTCTTTTTGAAACTTAAAAAAACGGAAAATTCTAAAAGCTTAACAAGGGGGGAATCTCTCTCGTCTTCCACTCGTTAAATATTTTTTAATATTTTCCACATAGAAAGAAATATAAAGAAAATGAAGTTTTTTTAGTATATTGTCACGAACACGTAACTGTCTGCTCCATGTATATTTGACACACTTTCACGTCGAAATTATGCTAATTTTAGCCCTTCTCCTAATCAAAAAGGGTGTCAATGTAAAAAAAAAAAATTGTGTTTGAATTCGGATACGGTGTAACTGAACTAACTCTTAAACCGATCAGTTTCGTTGAATGAGTCTATTGGCGCAGAGTAGGGATGAGCGCAGATCGGTTATCTGAATTTTTTTAAGTATTTGTGGTTTGTTCCGTTTTTAACGGATATTTAATTTTATGATTTGATTTGCTCCAAAAATATACGGATATTCGGATTTTCGGATATCCAGAAAATTTACAAGTATTTGCGGATATTTGCGGATATTTACGGATATTTATAAATATTTAATTTGATCCGTTTAATATACAAAACTGAAAGTATATCAATTTTTATTATAAAAAAATATATTTTATCTAAACTATTAAGTAAAAATAACTAAAAGAAAATATTTTATCTTATAAAAAATTTATAAAAATACAAAATTAAGATGAGGAAAAAATGATATTTTATATTTAAAAATAATATTAATTAGTTGAAACTTTAATATTAAACTTTACCAAAAAAAACTTTGTTGATATTTATTAAATAATATCAAATAAAATATTATTTATTAATTTTTTTTAAGTTTAAACATACTATTTATTTTTATGATTGGTTATTTAGTCATTTATTTTATATAATTAAAAAAATTTAAAAAATATTAAAAATTTAGGAAGAAAATCGAGAGTATATTAATAAAAATTTATAATATAATTGATATATACATGATAATATATACTAATATATAATAAATTTATAAAGATACAGATCGGATCGGATATCCGATATTGTCTAAAAACATATTTGTGATTTGCTCCGTTTTATACGGATACTATATTTTATTATTTGCTTTGTTCCGAAGCTTTACGGATATCCGAATTTTTCGAATCAGATCGAAGCAAATATCGGTTCAAACCGGATATAACAGATATTTTGCCTATCCCTAACGCAGAGAAATATCAAAATAAGCAAAGACGTCACCTCCTTTTTCACAAGTCGGTAACGTTCGCCACCGTCAGCATTTGCTGGTACTCTCAATGATTTTTATATTTCACAAATAGTGAATTTTAAATTCGAAAATCAAGTGATGATATTTTTTTTTTTCGCCATCAAGCGAATGATTTAACTTTGCTTAAAAAAGTGAAAAGATAAGCAATCGAATTTCAGACACACGTGCTAGACTGCTAGGGCCCGACATTCTTCAACCGAGGCAAGCAACTCGTCAACTCTTGCCTGTCCAAAGCTGATCCTCTAATTATTAAATTACTTATTTTGAAATTTGACCCCTAAAAACTCAAATTTTCAATTTCCTATCTCATTTGACGAATTTTTGAATTTCTATGCTAGTTTGGAAAGCAAAATATAATACTGCATAAAGATGGCAAATCAAAAGAGATATAAAAGAAAAAAGTCGAATTACAGAGAAAAATGAGATATCTTGTGATTTTGTAAAATGCTTATACCTTTTTGGAGTCAAAATATAAACGATAAACGGTTGATAAAATTATTTTCATCGATTAAAATTGTAAAAAGTGTATCTAAAATAAAAAATATTAATATTTTAATAAAATTTAAAAAGAGAGAAATTTCAGATTTTTTTAATCTTTTATATATCAATTTCTGTCATTAAAGTCTCTTAAAATCTTTACAAACGTATCTAAAATTCATTGAATAAGCATGTTTGTTACGTTTTCTCTATCTTTTTTCTTTTTAATAATTATTTATTGTGCAGATACTTTGCTAAAAACCATTGTTGGAGGTAGTTTAAGAGCAACATTATCGAAGAGCTAAGAGATAAAATTCTTAAATTTTTTATTATTAAAAAATTATTTTTTTAAAAAAAACAATTTTTTTAAAAAAAAAAATATTTTGACTAATGCATCTCACCACATCACTTAAGAGGCATTTCTGCATACTCTCGATAAGCGATTCTACTTCTGAATCTACTGTCCAATAATCATGCTCTAATAAGCTAAATTCACTCACTATGTTCGTACATCGTTGGACTGGGATCCAATGCGAACCACAGAATAAATCCATGGATTTCTTAGTCTATTATCAAATCATTAGTAGAACTGTTGATTTTCGTAAACTGTAATTATTGGTGCTTTTTCTTTTCTAGAATTATTGGTGCTTTATTAACATCATCATCTAAAATGTAATTAGAGTTTCAGAGACCTGCAATGACAACGAGGGACCACCACTGCGAAAGTTTCTTACTATAGAGACTGGAAACTAATAGACAGCAGTTAACTTTTTGTGTTACAAAAGCTTACTTACTACTTTTAAAATGTGAATTAACAAAGAAACTAACTAATAGACAACAGTTAACTGTTTGTTATACAAAAGCTTACTTACTACTTTTAAAAGTGTGAATTAACAGAGAAATTGTTGATTACTGCATTCATAAAGAAAGTCGACCAAAAAATTGATTATATTGTATATCCCTGTTTTTTGTCAACGATTATATGTTAATCGATTGACCATCCTTGGCACTAATTAATTCACACTTGTTCTCCTGTCAATCTAAACTCATTTTTGTGTGAGTTGTGAGTCTTGTAACAGAGAAAGACAACAAATCATTTAGTCACTATCGAGAAATAATATCATTAGTCACCAGTAAAATGATAAATCAGGATACATATCCTTTCAAATTAACAATGTAGATAGTTATTTCTGGACTTGCTTAGTTTTTGGACTTTAAAACATACTATTATTACAACATACTATTATTACATAATACTTCTGTTCAACCTATAATACAATAGCATAATTTTGGTTGTTGTCAACTATTAAAATACCAGATAAATCGTTTTAAGTTATACTTTATTATACTTAGAATACTGAAAGAGTAATTTTTATGAAAAAATAAAGATTTACAACGGTGATTATATGATTTTCAAACACTAACTGTCTAAAATATTTCGTCCACCATATTAGCTGTCCAAAATAAAGATGTACAACGGTATTTATATTATGGAAATATTAATTGGAGATATGTAAACCTCATCTGCTCAAAACTTATCTTCCTAATCATGGGAATTTGAACATTAATTTGAAAAAACTACTGTATTGTTTGATTTGATTTGATCCATCAGATATTCTTTATGCTCGGACTTCAATGAAGTCTTTATTGTTCTTGGATTAAGGACATAATCCGTAGATAATTACTACTATTAATTACACTCTTTTGTTTGCATATTCTTTAAAAGACAACTCGTAACGGAAGAAGACAAAGTTCCATTAAAGCCTATTTAAAAAAAAAATGTTTTCTTTTGTATCGATTCCCACTTCCTCTTTCACACTAGAGCCAAGAGAAGCGAAGCAAAACTCTCTTATCAGATTCACCTCTTTGTAAATCTCCCCAAAACTCTTTAGATATTTCTCAAAGTATCCACCACTTTGTATCTTCCTAAGCATTTCAATTCAGCTTAACTCTAAGAAAATCCTCAGGAAAAGACGTCTCTTTCAGTCTCTGTCTGCTTCTTCGTCTACCTACTGGTTAGTGCGTCTTCACTGTCTTCCTCTTCGTATTTCACAGCTTCATTCTCTGAAACTCTTGCAGTAACCCACTCAGAGTTTTTAAATCCACAAATCTTGGGTCCCATTTTTAAGCTTAAAGTCTCTGTTTTTTAAATCAATCTTTACAGTAATACCCTCCACATTTCTTCTCTGAAAGTTCAGTTAGCTTTTTTTCTGGGGATAAAAATCAAATTTTTTTTTGTCAACAACACTATTTATTGCTCTGGTCAAGTTTTTGATACTTGGTGATTAGATACTCCTGTGGGTCCAAAGGTGAGAAATGAAGCTCCTTCATGTGCCAAACCTGGAAGATTTTTCTTTTTTAAGGTCTTACAACTCGTATTGATATACTTTTCCCCTTTTTCAATTTTGGATTTTCTGGTTTCAGGTTTGGATTTTGGAATGATGTTGAGATGAAACCAGAGTCTCTTTCCTTGTATCTTGTTGTTGTTGTTGTTGTTGTTGGATCTCTCTCAACCAGACACAAAGATGCTTCTTCGAGCTGTGCTTTTGTCCCTCTCTCTAGGGTTCTGGGTGTTTCAATTCGTGGTTTCAGAGATTCAGTTGGGTTCTAGACTCGTAGTTGGTGAAAACAGCTTGTGGGTATCCAACAATGGTGATTTTGCGCTAGGGTTTTTCAATCCTCCCGATTTGCCTAACCGGTTTAGCATCGGTATCCGGTTTAACTCCGAATCCATCCCTTCTGATCAACGGAACGTCGTCTGGGTTGCTGGAGCGGTTGTTTCCGTTACCGGCAACAGCTCTTACTTCGAGCTCACTCGCAACGGAGAATTGGTATTGTTTGACTCCTCTTTGGGTGTTCCGGTTTGGAACAGCAAGACGAACCGGCTCTCTGTGTCCTCTGCTCTGCTCCGTGACGATGGTAATCTTGTGTTGATGAAAGAAAGAGAGGAGATTGTTTGGCAAAGCTTTGATACTCCTGGTGATACTCTGCTTCCAAACCAAAAGTTATCAGCTTTAGAGATGCTTAGAGCTGCTAGTGAGAGTTCTAGGTCTAGCTATTACAGTCTTATCATAGAGGATTCAGGGAAGTTAGAGCTGCGATGGGAGAGTAGCATTACTTTCTGGTCAAGCGGAAACGAAGCCGAGAAGAAGAAGGAGAAGATTGGTGCTGTTCTTACTCCAGAGGGAGCTCTGCTTCTCGTGGGCCAAGACCTGACGAGGCCTGTTTGGTCTGTCTTTGGGGAAGACCACAACGACACTGTGAAGTTCCGGTTTCTCAGGCTTGACCGGGATGGTAATCTGAGAATGTACTCGTGGAACGAGGATTCAAGGATTTGGAAACCGGTTTGGCAAGCTGTTGAGAACCAGTGCCGGGTCTTCGCCACCTGTGGATCGCAAGTTTGTTCCTTTAACAGTTCCGGATACTCTGAGTGCATCTGCCCTTATAACGCCTTTGCATCGGTCTCGAATCCCAAGTGCTTGGCGCCATATCAGAAGCTAGGCTGCAAATCTGGTTTCATCATGGCGCCGTTCAAGAACATGGAGTTGTATGGGCTTTATCCAGCTAACGATTCGGTTATATCTCTGATTAGCTCTCAGAGATGCAAGAAGATGTGTTTAGAGGACCCTGCTTGTACCGCAGTCACTTACAGGAATGATAATGGTGGTTCTCCTCAGTGTCTCGTGAAGCTGACCCGATATATCAGCGGTTACTCTGAACCGTCCCTGAGCTCTGTATCGTATGTTAAAACATGTTCAGACCCGATGGCTGTTAATCCGAATGTTTCAAGAGGTTCAGTGACTGTAACCAAGTCTCGCGGCGTCTGTATTCCTTGCCTCGTCGGCGCAACTTCCACTACGCTCGTTCTGTTTCTCGCTTTTCAGGTCGGTGTCGTTGTGTACATCTACCGGAGGAAGAAAAAGCAAGCTCTGAAGAAAGCTGATCGGTTCTCCAAGGCGACGAATCCCAAAGGTTTGATTATATTCTCTGTGGATGAGATCAAGGCGATGACCAGTAACTTTGACCATAGCATAGGACCGAGGATATTCAAGGGGGTTATGCCGGAGAACGAACTTGTTGCGGTGAAAGAAATGGAAGCGACGTTATCAGAAGAAAGGAAGTTCCGAAGCTCTGCATCAAAGATAGGAACGATGCATCACAAGAACTTAGCAAAGCTTGAAGGTTATTGCTGCGAACGAGGGAAGAGGTTTCTGGTTTACGAATACGCTAAGAACGGGTCTATACTTGACCACATCGTTGACCCTTTACAGAGCAAGAAACTAACTTGGAGAAAAAGAACCGAAACGTGCTTAAGCGTGGCAAAAGCTCTGTTTTACCTCCACACGGAGTGCAGAGAGTTCGTCAGTCACGGGAACCTGAACTGCGGAAACATTCTTCTCGGCGAGGATATGGAAGCCAAGTTAACGGAATACGGATTCGGTTCGTGTGCTGCAGATAAAGACGTTGAAGATTTTGGAGTGACGGTTCTAACTCTGATAACCGGTATGTGCGAGGCTGAAGGAGTAGTGAGTGAATGGGTGTACAGAGAATGGATTGAAGGGAGGAAAGAAACCGTCGTGGACAAGAGACTAGAAGGAGGTTTCGATGTAGAGGAGCTCGAGCGGGTTCTGAGAATCTCGTTCTGGTGTGTTCAGGTGGATGAAAGGTTAAGACCATCAATGGGGGAAGTGGTGAAGGTTTTGGAAGGTACATTGTCTGTTGATCCACCTCCACCGCCTTTTACTCGTGCAAGATCATCGCCGACTAACTCATCAGAGTCTGATCAATCGTTGTATGAGTGTATAAGAGACTGAAGAAGTATTGTATAGTTTCGAGGATCTGATTTTAACAAAAACAATTGTAGTGAAGGCTGATATGATTCTTGTTTCTTTGTATTAAGGTATTAATTAGCTTTTTCATCTTTGATTCTGTTTTAAGGAAAGCATCTCTATTGGGCATAAAAGCCTTTCATAGGCCCAACGTGTTCCCTTTCCCTTACAGAGAGAGTTTTCAATGAGGCTGAAGACCCTCTGGAAGAGAAGGAGGCTTGCTATTCCTGCGCGTAACGTCACGCGCTTGTTATGGCACAGACCAACTCTTTTGTACGAGTGTCTGTAATGGTGGAGCAGGACCATGATGGGGACCAGGAACCATTTGTAGGCTTACGCGAACTTTCCTTTCACTACAAATCGACCGACTTTGGGCCCTCCAAGAGTGATCCAGAGCCTAAGATGCAAAAGGTTGCTATAAATCACTATATGAGAGGTGTAGATCGCTTCTCTTTCGAAGATGAAAGGACATGACACATGGAGATTCTGTTCCAAAGTCCCCAACTTGTTTTTTGGCTGTCTCTTTCTTGTCTTTCTGCTGCTTTTTTTTTAAAATAAATTTCAACTGTTAACTGACACTAACTGCTGTCCTTTTTACATCCAAAATCTTGAGTCTTGTTATAGTATCATTGAACATTGTTTCACGGGATCAATCTTCTGTACACAGTTCAAGGTTTGCTTTTATCTGAATTTGAATCCTGTGTAAAACCTACAACATAAAAATCTCAACTTTGAGGTCTTGTCAATCAAAACTACAACTACCAACACCCGCAAACTCTTTAACTATCACTCTCAATGTAACAACTCTTTCAAGATTACAACGAACAATATAATCATCATCATCATCAACATCAACATCCTAACACTTTGAATATAATGCTCACTATGAAATGAATGAAAGAACAGTTTTTTCGATAAGCCTTCTACATGAGAGAAGACGCTCTCTTTTGTCAGCTTATAAAACAATGGCGTCCACAAGGATTCCCCTTGTTCTACCCGGTGCTCCTCCATTAAGCGAAGATAAATCCAACACGACTCTGCATTTGATTTTACCGCAAGTCAAAGTTATTACTTTTACAAGCTCAGAGAGAGATTATCAGTAGCGTAAGATCATTAGTCCTTTAGCTGCTTACTTGCTCCGTTGTGCGTCTCCTGCTTCTTGAACAATGATCTTTTCTTCCAATTTTGATACCGTGTGCTCGGTGGGAAGATCGATCCCTTCTACTGCAGTACCAAACAATTACGAAATCAATTAGTTTCACATTTCACTTGGCATGGACAAGACAATGTATGCATAATACTGTTCAGTTTCTCACTTTCCACACCATTGACAGGATCGACTCCGTCTAACCCCAAGATTGTCTGGAAACATTTTGAGCAATTTAACAAAAGTTGGCAGCAGTTTGAGCAATTTAACAAAAAGTTGGTTCACCTTGAGCTTCTTGTAGCATTCCTCAAGGTTGTCATTGTACAGAATAAGACCGAATATACCCGAGGATCTCCCTTCTTTGATCTCTGCCTCAGCATTTCTAAGCCGCTTTTGAATCTGCTCCTCTGTCTCCGTTCCTCTGTTTATTTAATTCAAAAATGATTTCCCTGGAAACTGTAAAATGAATGATATCTCAAGAATATAAAAGCCTGAATTATACCGAGCACGGAGCCGATCTTCAAGCTCTTTCATCGAAGGAGGACACACGAATATGAATGTCGCATCAAGAGAACTCGCTCTCACAGACCTTGCTCCTTGAACATCAATGTCGAGAATACATCTCTGTATACAACAAAAATGAGAAACTCATCGTTCAAGGATCCAAAATGCCATAGAAACTATTATCCATCAATCCAAAAGCTTTATAATATATACCTTTCCTGAATCTGTTACCACCTCAACGGACTCAATGCTGGTTCCGTAAAGATTACCATGAACAGACGCAAACTCAAGAAACTTCCCCTCTTTGATATCTTTCTCCATGACACTCTTATCAGCAAAGTGATAGTGAATACGGTCTCTCTCCATAGACCTCGGAGATCGAGTTGTGTGGCTCACTGAGAAGCCAAACGTTGAAGGAAACTCCTTCATAAGCATAGATATAAGCGTTCCTTTGCCAACTCCAGAAGGACCGCTTATAACAATCGGTTTCTCGGCATTGCCTTTCACGCCTTTACTCCAAGCAACAACTTCTCTCCCTAGTAATTTCCTCTGTTCCCTCACGTAAGAAGTATCTACCTATTGATGTTCCAACACATGAGGAACACACAAAAAACGAACATCCTAAAATTGGTGCAACAGATGACTAACCTCGAGGAACCAGATGGAGTCATTAGGAGTTGAACCTTTCTTAATAACCAAAATCCGACCTTGCTTAAGAACAAAGGCGGAGTAGCCTTTGCTAGGCTTAGGACCTGTCCCAAGCACAACAGGACTGAACCTACAACACCAAGTGATTTTCAAAATATGTAAGACTTCTGCCATTAAATCACAATTCTTGAATCTAAGTAACATTCTCGCACCGGTTGTCACTGTTTTTGTCATGAATCTGAACACAAATGGAAAAATTGTTCCTTTCATGATTTCCACCAATCAAGAACTGCACAACAATAAAAACCTCAAATCAGACCAACATCATCGACCAGTTGAAACAGTTTTGGATCAAAACATTTAAGTGGGCTTACTGTTCGATCGCCCAAATCAACTGATATCTCAGTGTTTTTATATTCAGGTTTTACAACAACGCCATTGGAGTGTCCGTTCTCTAGATGATCCACTACAAAAGCTGGAGCTTCTCCCTAACAACAACAATTTTAAAAATCATAAAAATTAAAATGTGAAGGGATTACTGAACTAAGAATCAAAACTTGATTATTAGCAATCATCCATTGAGAAACTGGAATTCTAGCAATGGAGTGAATAGCCAAAGAGGCTCACCATAGAGAGATAAACTATGCCTCCAAGAAGAACAACAACACAGCCTGAGGAGCAATGGCACCACAAGCATATATAAGATATCAAAAAAAAAAAAAAAAAGAGAAAAGCAAAAGATTAATAAAATCTACATCTAAATTTCAACAAGAATTCCAGAAATTGGTTTCCCATGAGAAAAAAATGCAACACTTTTGTCAAAACCCCAAATGCAGATTCCGTGTATATAATAAACACATAAACCGTAACGTAACACACAGTTTGATAAACAAGATGGAATCAGTGTGAATAAGCCAAATCAAACAAAAACCCATGTTCGTACCTCGAGTATGAACACCTGAAACACGAGAAAGACGAAGGCTTTTTGGGATTGCAGGCCACGATATGTGTATTTTATGGTTTTAGAGGAGAAATTTTGAGAAACAAGCACCAACGAGATTCGATTTCTAACCCCTTTGTATAATACTGTATGTGTGGATCATAAAAGGAGTTTTAAGACCAACTTGGAGATGATCGAGTCGCGGTCTAGGCCAAAAGCTGTCCCTCTGAGGAGCTTCTTTGTCATTAAAATAAGGTCGAGGAGAGAGATAGAGACTCTTAGTCAAGAGGTGGCTCTTTTATTTGTATTTATATTATTTTATTTTCTTTCCCATTTACACTTGTCAAATTATTTTCATTAGTAGTATTCTTAAAATGTGATTTAGATTATGGTTAATTGTAAAAAATGATTATGGATAATTGCATTTGATGTGTGTAAGGTTGAAATCAAATTGAATTCTGATGGCGATCAATTCGAGGAAATACACCACTTTTGTTTTGTTTCGGTTTGTAATTCTTATGCCGTTACAATCTAACCATAGTCTAATTACAACTAATGCACATAAATTTTGCTAAAAATAAGAAACTGAAACAGAGAATCAATTTTGAAAACTACAACAACAAAAAATGACATTTCTTGTAAGGTTGGACCACTTAAGAATGTTTATTAAGTCTTAAGAGTGTCGGTCGAGTCGAGTGTTTCTCCTTTTCGAGTAATCACTGGATTTCTCAAAAAAAAAAAAATGTATATCATCTCTCATTTTTAGACTTAAAAAACAAAAAAGTTAACCAAACTCTTTCTCATTTTTTGGGTTTAAGAAGATAATCAACCGTTAGTGATAAATCAATATCAATCCCCATGATAAAGCGGGTTGGACTTGGTCAGTGGGTTCAAACCGTTTTGATTGAACAAAAAAACGTGGGTCCTTTTAGTTATCACAAGAAAATGGATTATCTATTCCACTTTTAAAATATTTTGGGATTACAATGGTAAATACTTTATAGAAAAAAACGAGTCACAACGTTTCGAATCAAGGTAATTTAATGGGTATCCCCACATGCTCATTAAGGTAATACTATCGTCATATTCAAGATCCCACTAAAACGACTATACCATTTTGTAATAATAACAATAAATTGTTCGAATCAAGAACAACACATTACATATGATGGCTTAACAAAGGGGATGGAATTATTTGAAACACTTTATAGAAAAAGAGCCAAGTATTTTGAAATGTGATAACACTGAAATGCCACACGTAAACACATGCATGATTCAAGTATGGGATACGTGTACAGATCATAAGACCACACATCGACATATATAATTGAGGCGTGTGAATATGTCGGGGTTTGATTCACCACATCTTACCGTTATAAGGACTTAGTGACAGTATAGGTAGTTGGATGTCTCTTTTTATGTCGTAGGAATGTACAATTTGGCAGTTTAAAAAGGAGATTCAGTGGCCGGTTTTGAGATGGTCAGAAAGAAAAGCGAGGGTCCATGAAACCGCATGATGTTGTTCTCACTTTTCTTTTCCAAGGTGAAAAAACTCCATATGTTTTAATCACTCTGATGCGAATAAACTTGTCTTATGGAGCAGCCATTTCTAAAATCAGGTGACTTACATTGGGAAGAAAAAAAAGATTGTCGTGTTTGTACCTCTTTTCCAAGGCAATTTTGCACAAACATTGTATTACATCTCTGAATCAATTAAGAAATGAAAAACCATTAATATTTGATTGCAAAAATAAAATGGATCTAGTCCTATATACAAATTCTGCAATCTGTTCGAGTCTCAACCATTTTCACAAGCTCAAAACATTCGTATGAGTAACGATTTAGTGTTACGATAACTTTACGATGTATGGAATATAGATAACGACTTACCATCGATTTTAGCTTATTAACCGGACTTAACCGAAAACGATTCTATTTTCACGTCTATGAAATCTCGATATTATCGTAGAAAGAGATATATATAGATAAGAAACAGTAAGATAGTTTTAATTTTGAGGCGCATGAATAAATTCATCGTTCTCCTATTTGTAATAAAGTAGAATAAATTATTTATTTTTGTTTTTGGAAATCATGCACGAACCGCATGGTCGAAGCTAACGCAACCTGGCTAACGTACGTACAACTCCGGATTCTGCTTCACCACTTTTTGAGACAGATCGGCTGAATTATCTGAACCTTTAATTTCTCCGAGATGAATCCACGTGCTTCTAAATATCAGAATTAAAGCATATTAACACTCAGAATTATCCCTTAACTAGTCTCTTGTATGTTGACCACAGAAAAAAAAAACTAATCTATTGTATAGTACTTTGCTTTAAGCTTCAACAAATCTCAAACTTCAATTCTACAGTATCACTTAGGACCCGATCCACTAATTTAGGAAAAAATATTATAATCTATAGGACTATAAAGCACAAGGCATGGATAGGATTAGCATAATACATGTAACAAATTTATTCGGAAAACCAAACTGAAAATATTCCGTTTCCTCTATTTGGAGATTCATGGCGATATCTTACGTTCAGCCTCTGCTTCTTCTCCTCGCATCACTCTTCTTTTTACCTGCTTTTGGTGGCTTGATTGATTTTCAATACTGCAACAGTAAGTATCGATCTATTAGTTAGTGTTGCTATACATGGATGAGTCATATCTATTCTTTGTAAAGCTGTTGTAGGATGAGTCACATCTCCTCTTTGTCTTATTATTTTGTTCCTCTAAATACTTGGTATTGTACATCGCTTTTGGATTAAGAACAGCTTGAATCATTTTTGTTCTTACAAATATATGGGACTGTTGTAGAAAAGGGATACAATTTTGGTAACATCACTCGTGTGGAAGTCTCTCCCGAGGACACTCAATATCTTATCGTACAGGGTTCTACAAGTAGTAAAAGTACGTTTCTAATCCTCCCAAGTCTCATGCAGCTCCTTTTTTTATAATTTTGTTTTCCTAATCTCCAATACTTTTTTTGTATGTGTGTGTGTACAGGTAAAATGCTCTATTCAGAAGCTTTAGAGCTGTTCCTTAGAATTGACAAGTATCGTTTTCGTATGGCAAGATACGACGACATCCGTGAGGTGGTGGATGCATGGCCTCTTGAACCTGGCAAAGACTTTGTGCTCAAAATTTACAGAGAGAAGTATTTGCGCTTCTATGTAAGACCTTTTCTACAAAGAGAAGTATTTACGCTTTTATTCCAAACTTTTTTTTCACAAACAATGTTTACAAGATATTTTTAATATAACTATAATTTGCTTGAATTATTTAGAAATTTTCGACGGATTAAAACAAATAAGTCTTATTAAGTTCTATAATGCAAATGACCGATCACATTACAAAATAATAGTAATAAATATTTTTGATTTCAAAAAATAAGCTGTATAAAGTTTTGATTTACATCATAGAATCCTGTACATAGCAGTTTTAGTTTCACTTTTATATATAAGACCAGAAAATCATTTTCCTCGCATTTCACACATCCACTTCTTTGGTTTGGATCACTGATGGTCCTCTTTTAACATTTCTTTGTTGGTTTTTAAAACTTGTGAAGGAAAATTACATGAGTGCCTTAACTTTGTTCGGTAACTTTGAAGACTCTGGCAAACTACAGCAATTGATTTGTATCGACTTCAAGTTACCTCCTCCACAGTGATCCCTTTCTACTCAGCAAAAAAAGATGTTTTCAGGTCTTTATGTGTAATGTGTTGATATGATATGCCTTTTACTGACACTATAGTTTTCCATTTTGTTTTTAATGTGTTGTCCAACAAATAAAAGAAAACCATTAAGTGGTATCAATTTCTCTCTGTTGTAATTTTATTTTATTTTGTCAACACTTTCTGTTGTAATTCTGGTGGAGGTAACTGGTTATCCGTAGTGAATTCAAAGTTATTTATTATGAGGGCTACTTATTGTTATACTTGATGGTTTCGTAATAAAGAATTTATGGATGTGTTTTAATTTTAGAATTTTCTTCAATTTTTTTATTAGTTTTGAATTTTATCATGCTTCATGAATTTGTATTGATTGAGAAAATAATGACAGTTGCTGAGGAAACTGGTGGAGTTCCTATGAGGACAGAGGAGGGTGAAGAACAGGCGGATATAAGCGTTGAAGATTTAACTAGATACACATGCCAAGGTCAAAGAAAGTTGGCCGTGATAGATTTGAACAGTATCCTTGCAGATATTGTTTATGAGTATAAAGGTTCTCTTTCTCCAGATGGTGAAGTATCAAGCGGAGCTGTTTTCAAGAGAACCTATGTTGCTGAATTTCTGGATTTCTGCTTTGAGAGATTTGATGTTGGCATACAGTCTTCCAGAGGCATCAAACTAGAAGACATGACCAAAATTATCATGGGAAATCATGCCAAAAATGTGATTTTCTGTTTGAGTTGAGATATATGCACTAAAATGAATTTCAACACTCAGAAACATATATTTCTTAAGGATCTAAGAATTATCTGGGGCGTTGGAACATGTCTCACGTGAAAAAACAAATGTACGATGAGAGAAAACACCTTGTTAATTGAACAGAGATTGCACAAAGGATATTCTTACATATATCAAAGAAAATATAGTGAGAAACGTGATTGAACAATGACATTGTTGTGAAGCGTATCTAAAAATAAAAACTTATTGCTTAATACAAATACAATACAATATCATTTTCTTTAAACAGTTATAACTAAATAGCAAATCGCATAGGTGGAAATAAGAACATAAATAGAAATATTGGAAATTGAAAATGACTAAAATGAAGATGCATTTGTTCTGGTAGTTATTAGTCATTTCTTACAACTAGAAAGTTTTCTTCTTCTCTTTTTTTTTTCAACTATATAATTCCTAATATACCACAAATCAATTATCATTGACCACTTAGCACTTATTACTATTTTTGATTAATGCAAAACCATTAAATATAAATTTCTACTAACTTTATTTTTTTGTCAAAAAATCATATAACACATTTTTTTTTCAAATGTCTATATGAACATATGATGGAAACGAATATTTCTATCATATAACACATCTCCATTAGCAGATATTATATTGTTGAGAAACTTTGGAAAATATCTGAACAATGGAGATAAAAATTTGTGATGAATTTTACAAAATAAAATATAGTAGAAATAGATATTATATTGTTAAGAAACTCAGAATATCTTCTAATGGAGATTTTTTTAGAGTTTCTCAAATGGTCAACATCTTTAAAAATATATCTCATTAATATTTTATTAATATAATTTAAAATTAAATTAAATTTTTAAGTATAAATAAATTTAGCTAATCATAAATAAACATCTAGTTAGATACGATTGTAATAAACTCTCAAATGAGAAACATCTCTCTTTATTTCCTCTCCTTTTTTTATTACTTTTTTTTTTATCCTGAAATGCTTTCTTTAGAAATTTTAATAAAGAAAAAGCATCTTTTACCTAGTAAAAAAAATGTTTTCAGTTCTTTATGTGTTGATATGCCTTCTACTGATGCTATCTTATTTCTTTTTTAATAACTAGGGATGTTTCCGCGCTACGCGCGGATTGTTTTTATATAGATATTTGATTATTATTTAAGTTAAATTATTTTTACTTTAAGTTAATATTTTAAATATAATTTTTAATTTTTAAAATTGTTTTGATATGATTATACATCAAAAATATTTTAACGTATTCAAAAAATGTATCATGATATAATTTTAAGAATTACCTACTTGATATATGCTAAAATTAACTGTTAATCTAAAACTTAATATTTGTATATAAACTCACTGTTATTCACTACTAACTTTCAAAATATCATTAAAATTATTTTTGTTTTGATTAAATTTGATTATTATTGTTTCAATTAATTTAGATTTTTATTTTTATTTCAACTGTGTTCGTATAGTGTTTTTATTTAATTAGCAATCTCAAATACAAACAACACTCAATGTTCTAATCTCTTATAAATCTATAAAATAACTATGATTCATATAAATAAATACAATATTTACATAGTATAAAAAATCACAATCATATTGATAAAATGCAATTTTGATTTGGTTTATGAAGTATACGTAAACTATAAAAAATATAGATGAATAAGGCAAGTAATACATATACAAATACAATTTCATACTAACTCATTATGTTAAATAAAGTATGTTGAGTTTCTCAAAACTCAAAAGATGTAAAAAATTTTGCTTGTAATTTAACTTAAACATTTTTTCTTAAACTACACATATAATTTTGATGAGCTTTTATAATTAAACTAATAATATATATTATATTATTTTTAAAGGAGTCTCTTAACCCAGTAAAAAAAACTATATTAGTTTTTCATTCAAGTTGGGTTTATAAGGAATTTTGTTGATGTGGATAATTAGAGATTTTTTAGACATTTTCTTCTACATAAAAATATGTATGTTATTTTTCAAAAATGCATTATTATTTAATTTAATAATTTACTAACTTGATATATATAAAAATTAACTGTCATCTAAAACATAATTTTTGTTTATAAACTGTTTAACTCATGTGTTGACATGTATCGCTTGTAGTAACTTGACTACCTTAAGCCAACTAAGACACACATTGAATAAATATCAGTGCATGAAATTCTTCTTTTGTCTATCATTTTCTGCAATGTAAATAGTAACGATGATCGAAATCTTCATATAGATAGATGCTTTGAAAAGCTTCCTATAATTTATGTTGTCTTGTTGGTTGCCATAAATCTAACGTACTATGATGTTTAATCTGTATGTTTCTAAAGGGTGAATGTTTTAGATTTTTATAATTTGTAAATGTTTTAAATTTTATTTTAAAAATTATTATTTTGTAATCTTGTTTCTATTAACTATTATTTAAGTTTTTTAGAGCAATTTATTGTCTAATATATTCACTATATTACAAAAAGGAGTATATATTAATGCTACAGATTTAAATAATATTTATTTTACTGATTTAGAAAATAATATTTAGTTTTATTTACTTATTCCTAATAACTATATTAACTTAGTGGTTCTATTTATTTATTTTATGTATATTTCAAAAGATATAAAGTGAAATTGTTTTATTATTGTTATATTACAAACAAAAGAAGTATATATTGATGCTATAAATTTAAATGATGTTTATTTTACTGATTCAAAAAATGATATTTTAATTTTATTTACTTTTGTTGGTAACTATATTAATTTTAGTGACAAAAATGAGTATATATTAATGCTACAGATTTAAATGATATTTATTTTACTGATTAAAATGATATATAGTTTTATTTAGTTTTTGCTAATAACTATATTAATTTAATGGTTCTATTTATTTAGTTTTTGCTAATAACTATATTAATTTAATGGTTCTATTTATTTATTTTATGTGTATTTCAAAAAATCTAAAGTGAGAATTTTTATTACTGTTAATTTGTTATATTACAAACAAAAGAGTATATATTGATGCTATAGATTTAATTAATATTTATTTTACTGATTCAAAAAATAATATTTTATTTTTATTTACTCTTGTATTTAACTATATTAATTTTGGTTATATTTATTTACTTTATGTGTATTTCAAAAAAATCTAAAGTGGGAATTTGTATTATTATGTTTTGCTGATGTTTCATATTTTTAGAGTAGTTTGAAAAGCTGAGGTGGATAGCTTAAGGAGCCCCAAATAGTTCCTTTTATTTTTTTGTTTATAAACTGTTTAACTCATGTGTTGACATGTATCGCTTGTAGTAACTTGACTACCTTAAGCCAACTAAGACACACATTGAATAAATATCAGTGCATGAAATTCTTCTTTTTTCTATCATTTTCTGCAATGTAAATAGTAACGATGATCGAAATCTTCATATAGATAGATGCTTTGAAAATCTTCCTATAATTTCTGTTGTCTTGTTGGTTGCCATAAATCTAACGTACTATGATGTTTAATCTGTATGTTTCTAAAAGGTGAATGTTTTAGATTTTTATAATTTGTAAATGTTTTAAATTTTACTTTAAAAGTTATTATTTTGTAATCTCTTTTCTATTAACTATTATTTAAGTTTTTTAGAGCAATTTATTGTCCAATATATTCACTATATTACAAAAAGGAGTATATATTAATGCTACAGATTTAAATGATATTTATTTTACTGATTTAGAAAATGATATTTAGTTTTATTTACTTATTCCTAATAACTATATTAACTTAGTGGTTCTATTTTTATTTTTTATATGTGTATTTCAAAAGATATAAAGTGAATTTTTTTATTATTGTTATATTACAAACAAAAGAAGTATATATTGATGCTATAAATTTAAATGATGTTTATTTTACTGATTCAAAAAATAATATTTTAATTTTATTTACTTTTGTTGGTAACTATATTAATTTTAGTGACAAAAATGAGTATATATTAATGCTACAGATTTAAATGATATTTATTTTACTGATTAAAATGATATATAGTTTTATTTAGTTTTTGCTAATAACTATATTAATTTAATGGTTCTATTTATTTATTTTATGTGTATTTCAAAAAATCTAAAGTGAGAATTTTCATTATTGTTAATTTGTTATATTACAAACAAAAGAGTATATATTGATGCTATAGATTTAAATAACATTTATTTTATTGATTCAGAAAATAATATTTACTCTTGTATTTAATTATATTAATTTTGGTTCTATTTATTTACTTTATGTGTATTTCAAAAAAATCTAAAGTGGAAATTTGTATTATTATTTTTTGCTGATATGTCATATTTTTAGAGTAGTTTGAAAAGCTGAGGTGGATAGCTTAAGGAGCCCCAAATAGTTTCTTTTATTTAGTATAGATATATATATTGTCCAACAAATAAAAAAAAACCGTTAAGTGGTTTCGATTTCTCTATGTTATAATGTTGGTGAATGCCACCGGTTATCTGTATTGAACCGAAGCTTGTTTATTATGAATGCTACTTAGATCATGTGCAACGCCAGATACTCAAAAATAGTAAACTTTATAAAAAATAATTAATTAATGTGTAACTATTTAAAATTTGACATGTGTATTACACAATCTCTCATTTCCTTAAAAACCAGATCTTATAACTCCTAAATAAGAAACATTTCTTATTTTATCGCTCACCTTTCTATTATTTTATTTTAGTTTATTGGTTAGATACCTATAAATTTTTCTTTAGAATCCTGCATTGCACCTGTTATTAGACTATTTCCGTAGAATCTCTTAACGTTTAAAAATTAAAAATATTTAAAAAAGTATATGTAAAAGTGAGAATTGTTTCTTGTTTAAATTTTTTTTTCATACGTAAGAAAGACTAAAAAAGCATGTATTTCTTTATGATTGGCTCAATCTTTTTACATTTTAAAAGTTAATTAAATTATTCAAATATATTAATACAATATAATTGAGATATGCTACTAAGAAACTTTGGCGATGGAGGTACTCTTATTGTTATACTTGATAGTTTCCGATAAATGGTTTCCTAAAAAAACTGTACAGATGTATTTTAATTTTAGAATTTTCATCAGTTTTTTTAAATTAGTTTTGAATTTATTTATGCATCATGAATGTGTATGTTAATTACTGTTATTGAAATTCTTGAATGTTATATTCTTAATCATATTATTACCTAAACTTAGTCGTATCACTTTCGTATGTACGTGCGTTGGCAGGAAAGTCAAATCTAAATGTCAAATTTATGCACATTAAGAATCATGAAAATGGAATTTGTCAATTTTTATTGTTATTTTATTATTAGTTTAGAATTTCATATTCATGATATGGTGTACATGCACTAGTGATCAGTAATAAAAATTATCTCGTGTTAGACTACAAATTATAATCCTCTTGCTAAATCTTGTAAATTCATTATCATTTTGATTTCTCTCGCCATTAGAGAATTCTCTTCTATGGCACAACTCCCTCCTAAAATTAATTTCCTCGAGAAATAACTTTGAATTAAAAGTGATAGAGAATCATCAGCAAAAGGAAAAATAAGAGAGAGGGAAAGAGTAGTGATCATGGGGAGATAATTATAGGGATATGAGTTTATGAAGAGTGATTAAAAATCGGATCCCATATCCAATCGTAATCTCCAAATGGTCAGGGGCAAGTACATGTTTATGAGTGGCATTATAGCCATTATTTTTCGTATCGATATACACATTACATGTACAATAGGCTCTCGCCTGAAGCATGATTAATTTATCTCTTATCTACGTAGGCAAGCGTTGACGTTGACTTAATTTGGCGAAGATCCACCCGTAACGCCGTACGTAACCCATATCCACGTTGTATGAAAAAATAAAAAGATATGTATAGAAGCTTAACTAACAAGCAAGTTCAACCTTGCGTGTGGAGTAGAAATAACAAAGAAAAGAGTGTGTATTATACATTGAACACATTATTTCCCTAATCTCTATAAATATCATAGTCAAGCTTTTAGCATTGGAGGAACTCAATATATACAAAGATGAAAACAGTTGCCATCTCTATATTGCTCGTTGCATTAACAACATTTGGTGTCGTTGTTGCAGATGTAAACCAACTAGTGTATGATGCGGACGGAGAGCCGGTTAAGACCAACGTTCCGTATTTCGTCAGCTTCATGACGTTAGAATACGGAATGTGGATTTGCCGAATGAATATGGGATCTGATCCCATGTCATGCCCACAACAACCGGTAATGTTCACTAATCCAAATATAGCACCCACACCAATTATGTTCGTGTTACCATCATCAAATTCATCATATAATGTCATACATGAATCAACCGAAGTTAACATTAAGTTCGCAAGCCACGATCGTTGCCGTGAGTCTGGTTTTTGGAGAGTTGTTCAGAATAGCACAAGCTCACAAGGAGAAGTAGTCCTGACCGGTTCTAAGTCAAGCAAAGACAGTACCTTCACCATCGAGAAACCTAACGAATATTACACGTTCATTTTCGGCAATAATGATGATCGAACAACTATCAGTTTATCTAACGAACCAATATCGAGGCTGATTTCGAAAAGGTATTCTGGAGAGATGGAGGTTTATTTCTACCGAGCTACTCTTAAGTAATATGTTCCTTGTTACTTGTTGTAATATTCGTTGTAATTGAATAAAACTTGTTGTAAAACATGATGATTTGTGTTACATATACGCGATTGATGAACAAACTTTATCATATAAGATTTTCTCATCCGCTTGGCCGCCACCACCATGAGAAGTTTGTAAGATAAGATTGTTTTCGTTTTTTTTTTTCGTTTTGCAGTGAGGCCAACTATGGTTGTTGAATTGGTCAAAGAATATTTTGGGTGACATTTTCTACTATTATTTATAGACAGAATAGTTTTTGACTATCATAAGTTTTTTTTATTGTTATTACTGTATATACAAATAGTTACATGGGAAACGCTTAAATTCTGTTTTTGATGCTGACATGAAACATTTAACTAATCAGACATGGACACGTCAGAACCATCGTTTATAACAGACGCGTGTATTATCTTTTTTCGTGGTGGGGTCCAAACTTGCCGACACTCTGCTCTGTCTCCTCCTTGTTGTATCGTTACCACATCGCTTAATTTTAGTAGATTAAAAAAAAATGTGAAGAGGAAGAATTTAACATTAATTATTGTCTTTTCTTGCAACTCACGATAAACAAGCACGTCTCCGAAGGTTAATTGCAGTCTCTATCTGCTGGACCAACGTTGTTTTCATGAAGAGTCCTTTGTCATATTTTTAAATCGATAACCTTCTTGAAAATTCGTCATTTTTATTTATTTATTAATCGTGTAGTGTTTTTTTTTCACTCTAATCTAATTAAAGTAAATCAAAGCTAAAACCTTTGACATTACCGAAGAGTATTAACATTCAACACCCAATAGATCAAACCTACTCTGGTGAGGTCAGGCCATGATTATCTTCTTCTTTGACGATCTAAATTCGTAAACCCTAATCCTCAAATGATGTTGACTCTCTACGACCAAGAAACCTCGCCGGACCGCTCCAGCCGGTGTGAGACGCCGGAGACTGTCGTGAGAGACATCCACGCGCTTACTCCAGCTTCTACGACGGTGTTGCCTCCACCGCCTGCCTTGAGAGGCTATTTTTCTCCGACGAGGTCAACGACGACCATGAGCGAAGGAGCTTCCTCCGGCGAAAACTTCACAACCATAAGCAGAGAGTTCAACGCTCTAGTCATCGCCGGCTCCTCCATGGGAAACAACAACGAACCAACGGCGCGTGACGCCACGCAACCTGACGACTTGATGACTAGGATCCACGAGGAGAGGGATGAAGAGGAGACGAACCCTTTGGCAATCGTGCCGGACCAGTATCCGGGTTCGGGTTTGGATCAGGGAAGTGGAAATGGGTCGGGTGAAGTTCAGGGTCGGTTTCCGATATCGTCGGTACAAAGGGTGAAGAAGCAAGAGGTGGAAGCGAAGATAGCGGCGTGGCAGACGGCAAAACTGGCTAAGATCAATAACCGGTTTAAAAGAGAAGACGCCGTTATTAACGGTTGTGTTGACGAGCAAGTCCACAAGGCCACTTCTTGGATGAAGAAAATCGAGGTGAAAATTAAACTTATTGTAATTAAACTTTCTTATCTTACTATTCCTAGGTACGATCATTAAAGACATTAACACGACATATGGTCGACAATGCACCATCTGATTTACACGGATTATGTATATATATAGTTCGCAATATAAAAACGTTAATTGATAAATGACAGAAAAAATAAATAAATAATGAGTCATCATAGTTAGATTCGATTAGGTAAAGTAGGGAACATCATTTGCATGTAATTAGGTAAGCGATGGTTTGAATTGAAATCTCACGTTTAGCTATTAATCAATATTCGTTTATTTCAAAGTTGCAATTTTTTGATATTCACGACCGATATCCCTATTTTCATTATGGGTCTAAAAAGATTCATCATACTAATACCTAAGTGAATACCTTTAATGGTTACTTCTAACAATTTAGAGGTCTAACTGAAGCAAATCAAAGAAAATATGGCATACAGCAAATTATAGCTGTAGTACTGCGATATTGAAAACCTTATTAAGATTATACAATATGGTTTGGATGCTAACAGAGGAAGCTAGAGGAGAGAAAAGCGAAAGCGATGGAGAAAACGCAGAACGAAGTGGCCAAAGCGCAGAGGAAAGCGGAGGAGAGGAGAGCGACGGCAGAGGCGAAGAGAGGGACAGAGGTTGCAAAAGTTGTCGAAGCTGCTAATCTCATGAGAGCCGTTGGTCGTCCTCCTGCCAAACGCTCTTTCTTCTCCTTCTCCTAGTTTTTAGTTTATATTGTATGTTAATCAAACAAAAATTAAATATTCTCATTATTGCATATATTGTTGCTAATAGTGGGAGCGTGGGACTCTTTTTTGGAATTATTGTATATGTACACATATATATATGATCGTTAAAATACTGCTGTGTGGTTTTGCATCTTTTTTTTACACCATAGATACAATAAATGATTTGAACAAAAAAAAAAAAAAAGATACAATAAATGTTATGTTATTATCCACGTCCAAAAGGACCAAAACCAGAAATATAAAAATAAAGTTAGAATGATTCAATTTAATTTTGGCATGACCCCAACAGTAGGAAATCTTTATATGATGCAAGCTTCCAGATGTTTTTGTATGATCTTCATCTTTATGATGTAAGTTTTTCTTTTCTATTTTTCTCTTAATGAATTCCCAACCAGATCTCTTGAGCTTACTATGGACTGTCGAAAAAGTATGATAAATTTTTAGACAGAACAGGATCATTTTTTGAAGTTTCGTATAAGTAGTGGTACAAATCAACCACCCACAAAGATATATATAACTCGTCATGATCTGAATCTTGATATCAGAATCGTTTGGATGCTTTTTGAGTTCTAATTAAGAGGTTGTTGTTGCTCCGAATGAATGTTACTAAGTGGCTAATGAAATAGCAGCCAGTGTCACAAGAGACCAATGATACCAATCTTGCACAGCACGGGAGGGTCCGTCTTGACTACAAGATCTTATCACACGTCCTCTGTCTCCTCCTTGTTGTAGTCCTATGGATTTGCTCTCTTCTCTCGTTTTGGTTGGCCTGAATTTTTTTGAGGCCTTTATTGGATCAACTTTTGGTGGGCTTTGTGTTTGCTACTTTGGGTTTTTCCCTATATCAGTTCATTGATTCAGAGTTGAAGAAACAAAAAAGGCCGAAAGGCTTGCTTCTATCTATAATTTTCTTATCTTTTAATGTGTGTTTGGCAAAAGCCTGGGCATTGTAACAGGGTTTAATCTATACTTGTTGCAATGAAAATAGATTTTGGTCATACTTATTTTCCAAAAGAGAACATATTCGCTGAGAGATTTAGATTAGAAATTTAACCTTATTTGACTTCTTATACATCAAGATCTTGACGATTTACCAGGGAAATAGTCTCTCTCTCGATATTTTAAATCTGGATTTTCGGATACATATGAGGAGCCAACCTGGGTTTCACAGATGCAACTAGAGGCTTGGCCATAAACAAGTTGCTCTTCGCGGGGACGAGCTCTATTTTGCTTGTACCACAAGGAAGAGCCCATTCGAACCCCTGGAGAAGCCTGGCTAACAGCATAATTGTCATCGATGCCCCAATCTTAGTTCCTGCGCAGACACGCCGACCCGTGCTGAATATCACGAGCCGCATGTCTGGTTCCATCAGAGTCACTCCCGTGGAGTCCCTAGCATACTCATCATTAAGATGTCGCTCTGGCTTATACGCGTCAGGCTCGTCCCATATCTTAGGATTCTCACCAAGTCCTAGACGGCTCACTAGAATTTGGCTGCCTGTCATTTCATTTATACCACATGTCAGATAATGTTTTCTAGAATATTATGTTTGACTAGGACCTGTTTAAAGTTTAATATCCAAGATCGCCGTTCTTATTAGTCTTCAGTTTAAACTTTGAATGATAAAATTAGTATGATTTTTTACCTTTTCTTCCGTCATGTACAAGTATATAAGTACAGGTGGTGGTGCTTTCCTTGTTACCAAATTAATATATTAGATTAATATTTAGTAAGTTAACATAGCAGGAAGGTTTTAGCTACATTTTTAAGTGTTTATTTTTTATCCAAGCATGCATGACGTCTTATGTAAAAAATAACTTTTTATTTTATTTTTATTTTACCTTTGGGGACGAAATAACCAGCGAGGGTAGTATCTTCTCGGGCAACATGAGGAGGCATGAACGCATTAGCTGGGTGACGCCGGAAAGATTCTCGGCTACAAGCTTTGATGTAATTGAGTTGAGGTATATCTGATTCTTGGACAAGCCTGTCTTTACCAACTACCATGTCCAACTCATTTATGGCTTTCTCAAGAATCTCTGGGTGATTCAACATCTCCGCTAACGTCCACTCCACGTTATTCATCGTATTGTCGATGGATGCAACATTTATATCCTACACATATAACATAATATATGCATAAGAGATTATTGAAACCCTTATCTTATTTGTAACAACTCAAAGTGTGAACATCACTAACCTTGCATTGAGCTCTAATCTCATCAAATGTGAACAAAGGCATTCCTTGCTCATCTTTTAGCGCGATAAGAGTATCGAGCCAATCTTCTTCCGTCTCTTTTCCACCTTCATTCTTCCACAAGTGCATCCTCTTCTGGATGATCGGGTCGTTGCACTTGTTGATAATATCAACCGTTTCTCTTACCTCTGCCTCCTCTCCATCGATGTTCCATCCTCTAAGAAAAGGGATATAATTCGTTACCTTAAAGCTGAAAAAGCAATCGAGAGATCGGTATATTGCGTCCAAATGCTCTTTCTCTTTCTGCCCTAGACCACCGTCCTTTGCCGGTTTATCAAAATGCCTCTGGCCAAACATCATCCTCATCATCACGGCGTGGCAATAAGTTAAGGCGACATCTCTCACGTTAACGGGCTTCGTCGTTGACCCTAATCGGCATAGATTGAAGACGTACGTGATGATATTATCTGCTTCTAAGGTTCTATCACCAAGAGTCCTGTTTAATGTTGTCGGAGACATTAGTTTGGTGGTCATCACTTTCTTCATCATCTTCCATTTCTTTCCGTATGGAGAGAAGTTAATGTCCTTGTAGCCATGGCTGATGAGATTACTCGAGTACGACTCCGATCTGTCCGCGAGAGCCTCGTCTTTGTCCCTAAGCACTTCTCGGGCAATCTCGCTTGAGGTTACGGTGATGACATGGACGCCGGCAAAGCGAAAGCAAGCTATCTCCGTGCGCATGTCTTTCATGACGCGGTGGATCCACAGGTGAGTCGGCCGGTTCATGACCATTTGGAACAAGTTTCCAATAATTGGCCATCCCCATTGACCCGGAGGAAGCTGGCCTTTTGGTTTCTTGGATCTCAAGGAACGTATGGCAAAAGCCAAAACCAGCGTAATGAAAAATAGAACAAGTGTGAAACAAGATGGATTCGTAAGACTGATGTTCGTCATGGCCAAAAAAGTTAATTTGATGTGTATGATTTTTTTTTTGTTGGGAAGTCACAAGAGGTTTTGCTTTTAAGATAGTAGTGGAGATCTCTTACTACGAAATGACTAATAAGAACGTTTCCGTAACCATCTATATATGCATTTGGAAGTTTCGTACTAACCGCGTATAAAATATAATTGGTACCGGACAAACTATTTATTAAATTCCTTTGTTACAATAAGAGGCATCAACAGTAATCCTAACAAAGATTGACCGCTAGTGGCAGCAACTCAAATAATAATAGTGTCATTTTGTAAGATGAATATAGGACTCGGAGGATACATATGTGATATGTCCTATCGTATTTTTTTCCTCCCCAAGCATGAATGAAGTCGAATATTTTTGGAAGTCCGATCAGTTAATTGTCCATGGTCTTTGAAAATACCACGAAAAAATCAAAATTAAAAAAATATATATATATATAATGTAACAATATCTTTTAATTACACTAAAAAAATAAAATTACAAAGGTATAAGTTTTCATTTCGCTCTATTTACAGGCATCTTTTTCAGCTGTTAGTCAAGTAATTATTTTAGTTTTTTTTTGTCATAGATTTAGCAAAATTTAGTTCTTTTTTATAATACCAAAACTTAGTTTACTACTTAATAATAATAATATTATTGTTACTATCTAATTTTTTTTTTTTTGGTTATTTTCTTACTTTCAGTTTTTCATTTTGTCCGTAGTGTTTTTGGCTTATATGACTAAATATTGACTTGACTAGTTATAAAAAAAAAAAAGAAATAAATCTTATATGATCATTTGACTAACTATACTACTATATATAGTTTCCTCTTATATTTTAAATTCTTAGCGATTCTAAAGCTTGCTTCCAAGAGCAGGTTTTTTCCAGGTGATTTAACGGCAGTGTGTTATGCGCCAAACAAGAGACTTGTAATAACTATTGTATCATGACTATGAATCTTCTCAGAAATTCTAATGTGATTTCACGTCGAAATAAACAAACAAAATATTAAACTTACGCGCTTGCTGAAGTATTCACGCGGTTTATTCAAATCGTCTATCCTTTTCATTGAACGTTTTGTCTGTTAATAATATATCGCATACACGTTTTTTTGTATCTATTACACAATCCATAAGCCATTGTTGGTCTGGTCAAATTTAATTGCGATATTCAATTTTCACTATTTTGCTCATATTATTATTTGTAATAAACAGAGTCGTTTTAAATGATTTGAATATGTCACAAAGGTGATAAATATTACAATGTAACCGTTTGATTGATCTGACTGGATGTTTGTCAGCATCTCTCCACAAATTGTCGAACAATGAGAAAGTTATCATTAAAATTTTGAAATAGATCTAAAACTATACGTGGAGAAAAGACATTGATATATGCACTACTTGTATTTTAGAAAAACTTCAGGAACTACGAATTTTTTCCATATTACTACTTAGACGACTGACCACCGTACTTTAATTTTACACCTTTTTATTGACCAACATTAACATAACCCTTGGTAAAAACTCGACTTTATGTAACAAATGATAAACGATGTTCTCGTTCTAGGGGTTGGCGATCTTTTAATTTTCCAAGATATGTTGTATATAGTTCGACGGTCATCTTTATTTTCCACATAATTCTACTATGCATGGCTAGAAATTCCATTACTGATGACCGTAAATTCCACTGATAAAAATAGAAAAGAAATGTATGCAGCATTATTATATAATTCGTTCCGTGGTTATTAATTACTAACCTGCACCGGTTTTAGAGATATTTATATCAATTTTTGACAACGGCTTTGTAACTAGATTGTCAAGAAACATTATATCATTGACTATCCTAAATCTTTTCACACACTGATGCTGGAGTTTGAAATTAAGAAACTCTTAAGAGTTCTCAATATATTGAAATATAAAATGACCAAAAAGATGGCAAGTCATATGTTAACATCATAACTACCAACCAAAGCTTTCTTCCCACATAAATTTTATAGTTTTAGCTATGTATATTTTTGAATCCGAATGTTTTTATTTTTTTAAAAGGTTTTTAGTTTATATATAATAAGAATAATAAGCAAAGTAAAATCTAATTTAGTATTTAGATAGTTTGATCAGATTCAGCTTTTAGTGAATTACGTCCACAATTTTCACAATTACTTTGGTTTTATATCTTCTTTCTTCATTTCAATTCAATTTTTGTTTTTTTTTATATAGAACGTGGATCTATTTAAACTATATTTGAATTATGATTCGTTTATATTAGTTTGGTTTCGGATTTAATTAGTTTCATCCGAATTAAACACTCCTGATCGTGTGTACCTATTTGCTTCTTTTATTCAGATTTGCTTGGACATTACGGTAGTCCTAAAAATAAGTTATTGAAATAATTAAGACATATCTGAAAGAAGTTAAAAAAAAAACAGAAATCAGGATAACAAGAAAATACAGAGAGATTAGGGAGGGAAGGATATCTTTTTTGGTTTTTTTTTTTGACTTTCCTTCCGTATCTCTCTATAATTTTCGCATTCAAATCTTTTTTCAAAATTGAAACTTTTTGTTAAATTTTAGGAGAAACAAGAACAGCGTTTATATGCTTGCCTCACGTTCATTTGATTACAAGCCGACGATCCTTTGACTCTGTTTCTCATAGTGCGTTTTCCCGTAAAATATTGTCCTGAATCTATATCTAAAGTTTCCTCAATATCTCCCTGAGAGCTTCGGGAAGGGATTTGATTTAGGGTTCTTGTTCCCGAGAAGATTTAAATTTCTCAGAGTTGATTGATAATGGGGAATTGCTGTGGAACGGCGGGATTGTTAATTGGAAATGACAAGCAGAAGAACGGGTTTAAAATCATAAATCCTTTCTCAAACGATTACGGTCGTCACCACCACGACGGCCTCAAGCTTGTCGTCCTGAAGGAACCAACGGGTCGCGAGATCAAGCAGAGATACAAACTGGGTCGCGAGCTAGGTCGAGGAGAGTTCGGGGTCACGTATCTATGCACAGACCACGAGACCGGTGAGGTTTTCGCATGCAAATCGATCATGAAGAAGAAGCTGAGAACGTCGGTGGATATAGATGACGTCAAGAGGGAAGTGGAGATCATGAAGCATATGCCTAAGCACCCTAACATCGTCACGTTGAAAGAGACTTACGAGGATGCTAAAGCTGTGCATTTGGTTATGGAGCTCTGTGAAGGCGGCGAGCTTTTCGATAGGATTGTCGCCAGAGGGCATTACACGGAGAGAGCTGCAGCTGAGGTTATTAAGACGATCATGGAAGTTGTTCAGGTTCGTCAGGTTTTTGTTTTGACATTTTTGATCTGTAAGATTGCTTGGAAGGCAAGGTTCTTTTTGGTACAAGTGACTCAAAGTGCATTTCTTGGAGATTTTGAGCTTCCGAGGGTAAATGTGTTATATTCCATGTGTGTTTCAGATGTGCCATAAACATGGAGTAATGCACAGAGACTTAAAACCTGAGAACTTCTTGTTTGCAAACAAAAAGGAAACTGCGTCCTTGAAGGCGATTGATTTTGGTCTCTCTGTTTTTTTCCGACCAGGTAATGTATATCACCTTGGATGCTTGACCAAAGCTATTAAAAGCAGTCTTTTAAACCCACAAGTGTTTTGTTTTCAGGCGAGAGATTTAACGAGATCGTTGGGAGTCCTTACTACATGGCTCCCGAGGTACTAAGGCGGAGTTATGGACCAGAGATCGACATTTGGAGCGCAGGAGTAATTCTTTACATATTGCTCTGTGGTGTTCCTCCTTTTTGGGCAGGTTTGGTTTTGTCAAATCATTTTCTTGGTCTTAGTCTTAATTTGTTAGAGTTTTGTATAATGACTCTTTTTTGTAACTTGTTTGTTGGTTTGCAGAAACCGAGCATGGAGTTGCAAAAGCGATTCTTAAATCTGTAATTGACTTCAGAAAAGACCCCTGGCCCAAAGTTTCTTCAAATGCAAAAGATCTGATCAAGAGGATGCTTCATCCTGACCCGAAGCGTCGTCTTACAGCTCAACAAGTTCTTGGTATATCACTCTCGCTTTCAAGAATGAAACTGTTTTTGGTTCTTCTCATATGGAATCAATGTTTTAAGACTCAAATCATCTTTGGTTTGCACAGATCATCCGTGGATACTGAATGGCAAGAACGCTCCCAATGTGTCATTAGGTGAAACCGTAAGAGCAAGGCTCAAGCAATTCTCTTTTATGAACAAGCTCAAGAAAAGGGCACTCAGGGTATGTATTAATATTATTCTCTTGAAGTCTTGTATATATGTTCAAAATAGCTAAAGATAGTTAGACGTTGGTTTTATAACATAGGTTATTGCTGAGCATCTATCGGTTGAAGAAGCATCCAGAATAATAGAAAGATTCCAAATAATGGACACAAGCAATAGAGGAAAGATCACTATGGACGAGCTAAGAGTCGGACTGCGGAAACTCGGTATTGTTGTTCCTCAAGATGACGTTCAAATTTTGATGGATGCGGTAAGCACTTGATTAAGCAATGACTTGAGAATCTTTAATGTTTCTCGCACATAATGCATTGACTATGGAGGGTTTGTTATATAAACAGGGAGATATTGATAGAGATGGATATTTAGACGTTAATGAATTTGTAGCCATATCGGTACACATCAAGAAGATGGGAAGCGAGGACCACTTAAAGAAAGCATTTACGTTTTTTGACCAAAACAAGAGTGGTTATATTGAAATAGAGGAGTTACGAGATGCTTTGGCAGATGAAATTGACACTACTAGTGAAGAAGTTGTCGAAGCCATTATCTTTGATGTCGATACCAATAAGGTGATTTAGACCAATCTGAGACTTTTTTTAAAAAAAAAAGTGTTGTAAAAAGACAAGAAAATTGAATGTTTCTTGAACCGCAAACTTGTGCAGGACGGAAGAATAAGTTATGAAGAGTTTGCAACGATGATGAAAACGGGAACGGATTGGAGAAAAGCTTCGAGGCAGTACTCGAGGGATCGGTTTAACAATCTTAGTCAAAAGCTTATGCAAGATGGGTCATTGCATTCTAATGGCGATACAAAGTAGAGCTTGATATATACTCGACACAGATACTTGATCCTCACTCAAGTCGAATCTGAATCGAAAGAAAGAAAAATATTTGTTCTTTCTTTTGGTGTTTTTTTCTTCACATTCTCACAACTTGTTAGTTTCGACGGGTATATCAATTAAGCTTTAGCCAGTTATCTTGCTGAAAGATCGAGGGAGAAGCCCTGCTTGTACAGATAAATTAATTAAATGTGAGGAAAATGATGATCATTAATAATGTTGTTTCTTGTCATCTTGTGAATTTGTAATTTTCATTATTTTCTATTTCATTTAACAAATGGTCAAAACAAGTTGGCCTTTGTCATGGTTCAGAACAAGACGACATTTTTCTTTTCTTACAAAGGTACTAATTATATAGTCCCAAAAGGTGAGCTTTTCCAATGGCTCCAAATGGTAAGATTTTTGGACTAGTTTGTTTTTAGTAATGTGATTGTATAATGGTTTGTTATGCAATTAGATTTCGTAATGTAGAATGTCTAACATGCAACACATAGATAAACCCTATAGATAGGGCAAGGGAAGTCATGGATTGCGATGAGTGCACTTTCTGCGAGAAAAATACCTCTCGATTAGCTTAAAGTCATCTTAAATATAACAACTAAGTCTTTATTAAATACGTTGGTTCGGAAATTTCTCCAACTTCCTCAAGTATGGTCCGTGTTTGATCAAAAATACGAGAAGGATAAATTCTTATCTTCAATCCCTTTAGTATATATATATTTCTACGTTCTTGTTTTAAAAAAAAAAAAAAATGAAATTGTCGCCGAATAGAACACTTGATGCAATTTTCGAAAAGAATATTATCATATTCATCTCCACTCAATTCCTTGGGGCACTATGCATCTATCCACAACTTGTCGTGTGAATGCGGTTTACATTAATAGATAAAGACGAAGGCGATTGGGACCTGTAATTTGTGGCCATTCCATAAATTCCGTACAAACTAATTTAACCGAAACTTTTTTGGGGATCAAAACAGAAAACTCTTTTTATATATTTTAATATTGATATAGTTGTACACAACACCCCTTCCTTAGCTTTTATGGGCGTTTACCCATTTCGACATATATTTTAAAAAATTCATTCAATTTTATCTAATTATTATAACCGTATATCAAATAAGAAGTATGAAATATGTGATCCGCACTTTACCAAAGTAACCAAACTATTGATGCCTTTCCCTGCTATGTATCATATCATTTGCAATGCATAACTATGCGACTGAAGTTTGGTGGTAAATTTTTCTAATAATATATATATATATGTTAAATTGTTTATCTATTATAATTTCAGAATTTACATTATCCATGACATTTTTTTCCTTATATACATGTATATTATATATGCGTGTGTGTGCACGAACAATTCTGTATATTTTCAAAACAAAACCAAATTAAAGAATTCAGCAATTGGACCAGCAGGACGTACTTCTGTTTGCATTTCTCTTTCCAGAATGATACAAAATACAGTTAAATGCCGTTTTCTGTGGATATCCATATAATGCATAGACATGGTGGGATCTATATATATCGATCATTATCCAAATTCCAAAGCAGATTGTGAAATATTTTATTATATTTTGTTTGAATTATTGTGCAACAAAGAATATGACATATCAGTTACAACTTGGGAGAACATGAATTATAATGTACAACTTGGGAGAACCTGAATTTTTCTAATATAAGCAACCAATTTCAAAAGTAAATGTCTTTGCTATTTATTTGTGGGAAATTACTCAGATTAAAACTAAATTGATTTCAAAACCAAACTTTTTAAACGATAAAATTAAGAAATCAAACAACATATACGTTTTAAAATGGTTCATATATATGTGAGCTACATCTAGTTCAGGAGGTATCATAAACTACACACGAGAAAGAAAAAAAAGGGGAAAATATTGTGTAGATGAATTATTAGAATCTTGAATCCTAAGGGAATTAAGAAATTCAAAAGATGAATGAACAAGAACCTATAATTAAGGAGTGGTATAACAACGACCAAGAAAATTTCCCAGAAGTCATGCTTTCGTCCATACCTTTGGGACTCTCAAGCAAGCTTCACAAATGCCTTGTGATGTATGTTTATTTTATTTATATATATATATATAAATATGTCCGTCTAAATTAAATATTTTTCTATGGTTGCGTTGGATATTCAATTTTTATTCATCAGAAAGAAAGATGTGTACACTAGTCTACGTAGTCTTTTTGTTACTGTAAGTTACATGTATTAATGTAGTTTTCGTTTAGCATTTTTTGAATCCGTAACTCAATTTTCTTTCTGCTGACTCGAATTTCGTTATTGTTATAAAGTTGTTAATTTGGTTTTGAAATATTAAAGTCGGCCTAGACTTACTAGGCATAATAATTCTTAACTTTCTAGAAACAAGAAATGGGGTTTACAGTTTACTGCTCAATCATGTGTTAAAAACACATTAGAACTTTGACCACGTGCTAATTTCAAATATACCATGGCACATGTATCAAATAATTACCAAAACTCTACTTTCCTAAAAATAATGTGCCACAACAACTCTTATGGCACACGTGCTGCGCCTAATTTTGCTTCCTATACGCCATGCATGTGCCGCGGATTTCGCTGAACCCTACGACGTCGTTGTAGTTGTTATCCTCGGTTTGATTACCACAACGTTATCAGACAGTGTACTGTGTTTCGCTTCAATGATTATCAGTATCGCTTCACAATTGTATTATATATTATTTTTTTGTCAACACTTCACAATTATAATATTTTGAATGTTTAACAGGAAATATATTAACGCAAAAACAATAATTTGAAATACAATTATTTTTCAATATACTATTATTCTTTGCATGCATCTATCTTTTTACCGTTATTCCTTACAACTATCGTTATATGTCATTAAATAACCGTATCAATCGTGCGAAACCTAATTTTTTTAACCATGCATTATAATGTTTAACCTCATCCACGTACGAACAAATATATATGCAAATTTTAAATAAAAGAAATATGCATTTAGTAATCAATGACGGTCCGACGTGACAAAAAAAAAGCCTTAATTGATATGACGTGGATATTTTTTGACAATATAAACGCCAAATTCCATTCTTTCAGGAAGCAATGCGATCAAGAAGGAAGAAAATGCGGCGGTCACGTGAACAGAGATCGTTATCGCCATTTCAACAGAACCTTCACGAACATATAAGTTTGGGTTTTTCTTCTTTTTTTTCCTACTAAAATCACGCATATCTCTATAGTACACGAAACTACGACTTTTTCTTACGACAACACGTAAATATGAATTTGTGGGTGGGGTTATAGCGATAATCAAAGTGCATTTTCATCATTCGGAACAAATAGATGTTTCGAAATTTAACTTGTTCATTATTTATTCGTCATATAACCTTTTGCTCCGACAAAATAGCTTCAGTGTAATGAAATTGAATAAATTTTGTTTTCGAAACTGATCGATCAATAAATGTATCCGATGATTTCAAACGCTTTTGTATTTGCTTTTATAGGTCACGTACGATATATAATATGATGTTGATCTTTGTGAAACATGATTTTAGTCATATTTATATTAAATATCCACTACACATAATATACGCAAATGCAACGTTACTACTTAATAAACACTACTTTAGGCATCTTTACTAATGATGATAGCTAGTAAATAGTAATAAGAAACCAAACTGTTTTCTTTTTCAAATCCCATAGCAAATTTTAATTGTTACAAATTCATAGCAACACCATGATACCAAATTTGGCATCTATCCGAGAGTTCATTCACATTTGGCCATTCGAATTCATGAATGAAAAAAATATTATTAAATAGAAAATATACGGAAAATGATTTTTAGTCATCTATCCAATTATCCAATATAATTTAATCGAGACTATAATAATAATAATAAAAACTATGTACAACTAGCTACCTTGAATCCTTAAGCGATGTTTCTTGCAGAAAATACGATAAGTATGGTCTCGCTAAGAGACAACAAAATATTTAAATAAATCAAACAAGAGAGTAAAAATATGAAACTCTTAAAGAAGATAAATAATTAAAAAAAGAAGGATAAATTAGTATAGATGCCTAAGGTAGTGTTACGTGACAATCTCAATTTCACTCCATCTCGTCTAACTCATTCAAGCATAAGAAACCTAACTTTTAATGTTCCTTTAGATTTGCCTATAAATACACGTATGCCTACACTTCTCCAATTCCAATACAAATCAACACAAAGACAAGAATCACAAACATCAATACATTCTCAACCTACTCCCAAAAAACGACACGCATTGCTTTTCCCAAAAAGCCATTTGATCTCTACCAACCTCAATGGCCCGTTGTTGCAAACTTCTTACCGGTTTCTTATTGTGGGCTCTTCTGATGCTCGCATGGTGCGAAGCTTCAAGAAGCAGCCTTAATGGATATGACCATTCTAATGGAAGGTTAAAAACCGATAGCTTAATTAAGCGTGGACATGATATCACGCATTTGAAAAGCTACGTAAGAGCCTCTTCAAGGCCTGTAGCCACCGTTAGTGTTTCTGAGTTTGGAGCTAGAGGAGATGGAAAAACTGACGACACGCAGGTATATAAATATATAAATATTATATAACATACATTTTCTCATAAAACTTAATTTGCTTTTAAAAAAAAAAAAATTGAGACGGCCATGTATATATGACTTTCATGATCAGGCGTTCCTAACTGCGTGGAAGAAAGCATGTTCTTCGAATGGAGCTGTTAATCTCTTAGTTCCCGAAGAGAAAACGTATCTCCTTAAGTCTATTCGATTAACTGGTCCATGCAAATCAATTCTTACCGTTCAGGTAATTACACAAATTACTATTTGTTAATATACTCTATGCATGCTCATATATAATATGGATTTGAATATATATATATATATATATATATATATATATATATATATATATATATATATATAAATGAACGTCTGGTCAATGGAACGACAGATATTTGGGACGTTATCGGCATCTCAAAAACGATCGGATTACAAAGATATCAGCAAATGGATTACGTTTGACGGCGTTAACAGTCTATCAGTAGATGGCGGCGCCACCGGAACTGTCAACGGAAACGGCGAAACATGGTGGCAAAACTCATGCAAACGTAACGAAGCTAAGGTGCGTTTACGCAAATGTTTCATTTAATAATATATATATCTACAAGTCTATTGTAGACATATTGACACCTTTTTTTTCTTTTCTTTTTTTCTTATGCAGCAATGCACAAAAGCCCCAACGGTACGTTGAAAGCTGAAACATATAGCATAACTTTTTCATATAATAATATTGATGAATGATGATGGTTTCGATCATAATTGGACAAATGTTTACCATGAATATACTTTTTTTATATGCAGGCTCTTACTTTCTACAACTCGAAGAACTTGAGAGTGAATAATCTGAGGGTGAAAAATGCTCAACAGATTCAGATTTCGATTGAGAGATGCTCCAACGTTCAGGTCTCAAACGTTGAGGTAACTGCGCCTGCAGATAGTCCTAACACCGATGGTATTCATATCACTAACACCCAAAACATTCAAGTCTCCAAATCCATCATTGGAACAGGTTATTATTAATTATTATTATTGTATCCATTTACATTCCCTGATAAGAAGAGTTTCTTGCATATCAAGGAAGCTAAATTCAAGGGATTTTGTCAGGATTTATGGAGAATGATCTCAGAGGAGTTTCTTAATGGTTGCTTGTTTTTTTTATATAGGAGATGATTGTATATCTATTGAAAGCGGATCACAAAATGTTAAAATCAATGATGTAACTTGCGGCCCCGGTCACGGTATCAGGTATCAAAGAATTGTTGCTTGTGTGTACGGTGTACGCCCTAATTAAATGTTTTATTTCATAAGATCTTCTAATTAAACTAATATTTTTTTTTTGATATTTATTTTTAAATATATGAGCAGCATTGGGAGCTTAGGAGATGACAATTCAAAAGCATTTGTCTCAGGCATTACTATAGATGGTGCTAAGCTATCCGGTACAGAAAATGGAGTTCGAATCAAAACCTATCAGGTGAAACTCAAAAACTAGCCCTTCAATTTTACCTAGCCTCTCAAATTTGCCCCCCCCACTTTATTTCTGATTTACCATTTAACCGATATCCAAATTCAGGGAGGGTCAGGAACTGCTAGCAACATTATATTTCAGAACATTCAGATGGAGAATGTGAAGAATCCAATCATAATAGACCAAAACTACTGCGACGAAAGCAAATGCACAGAACAGGTTCATTCGAATCTTATCAATTCAACCAAAATATTCTTCATCATGGTTATAAATATGTTTGAGGGTCTAATGCATTTTACTACATATAATTTCAGAAATCCGCGGTCCAAGTGAAGAACGTAGTATACCGAAACATAAGCGGCACGAGCGCATCGGACATGGCAATAACCTTTAATTGCAGCAAGAACTATCCATGCCAAGGAATTGTGCTTGACAAAGTCAACATTAAAGGAGGGGAAGCAAGTTGCAGCAATGCTATTGTGATGGACAGAGGCGCTGTTTTGCCTCAATGCAAATCCACTTAATTAATTAGATCTTATATCACACACACACACATAGATACAAATACACATATACTTGTGAATATATACATGGACAATGAGATTAAAAGATATTGTATTAACTATGAATTATAGTATAGTATAGTATAGAAATACACATACCCATAAAAAGTTGTTTGTCTGAATTTCATGAATAAAGTATACGTTTTCAAGTGCCTCTGATTAATGTATGAATAGATTTTAACTTTTTTTGTAAAACTGAGTCCCATCATTTTAATGAAAAGATATGAGCGACTCAGAAACAGGCTGAGAATTAGATCGGGATATTGGGCCCACAAAGCCCATTTAGTTTGATCAGAAAATCGAACTTCGCTATTCAGGTTACCAGACAAGGCCTTTAGAAACCCTAAATCATTTGATGTAACCTGAGCAATATATAGCACAATTTCGCCGCACCTAGGGTTTTATCCTTCTCACGCCAACACATCGCAGCGATTCCAAAACTCTTTCTTACTCTCCGCAGACTTTGACAATGGCGGAACGTGGTGGAGAACGTGGTGTAGAGCGTGGTGGAGAGCGTGGTGGTTTCGCGCGTGGATTCGGAGGCCGTGGTGGCGGAAGAGGTGGTCCTAGAGGCCGTGGTGGTCGACGTGGAGGTCGTGGTGCCGCGGAGGAGGAGAAATGGGTTCCAGTGACCAAGCTTGGTCGTCTCGTGAAGGACAATAAAATCCAGAAGATCGAGCAGATCTATCTTCACTCACTTCCGGTTAAGGAGTACCAGATCATTGATCTCCTCATTGGCCCTTCGTTGAAGGATGAGGTGATGAAAATCATGCCGGTTCAGAAACAGACCAGGGCCGGTCAGAGGACGAGGTTCAAGGCCTTTGTTGTCGTCGGAGACGGGAACGGTCACGTCGGATTGGGAGTGAAGTGCTCTAAGGAGGTCGCTACGGCCATCAGAGGAGGGATTATCCTCGCGAAGCTCTCTGTGATCCCAGTGAGAAGAGGTTACTGGGGTAACAAGATCGGGAAGCCACATACGGTTCCTTGCAAGGTTACCGGAAAGTGTGGATCCGTCACCGTGAGGATGGTTCCTGCTCCTAGAGGTGCGGGTATTGTGGCGGCTAGGGTTCCTAAGAAGGTTCTTCAGTTCGCTGGAATTGATGATGTTTTCACTTCCTCCAGGGGATCCACCAAAACTCTCGGAAACTTCGTCAAGGTTTGTTCCATCTTCCTTTACTTAAGAGTTTGCCTATTGATGAATTTTGTTCTCTTTTTGATTGCTTATTGTTAAATTTGAACTCTTTATATCTCAACTTTGATTGGTCATTGCTATTTGTTAGTAAAAGATTGACTTTTGACAACACATTTGATGAAACATCTCTACAAGGAAATAGTGTTTGATTTGATTGATAGCTTAGCGAACAGCATTGTATGTATTCATAACGACGGCTCAATGAGTAATAAGTTACCGGAACCTGAGCTGTTTGTTTTACTGCCTTATCACGAGTTGTGTTATTTGATTAGGAGAGAGCTAACCTCAGTCTCTTACTTGTTTGCATCATTAACTTGTACCTAAATGCTTTGTTATATGAAGTTTAATAATCATTTGACTAATCGTTTATCATCATGTATTTGCAGGCTACATTCGACTGCCTTCAAAAGACTTACGGATTCCTCACACCAGAATTCTGGAAAGAGACGAGATTTTCCAAGTCCCCATACCAAGAGTTCACTGATGAATTGGCTTCCAAGGCTACTACGAGCACCAAGGTCCTCGCTGAGGCTGAAGAACAAGCCTAGATAATGCCCCACCTTTGTTTTCCTTTTGGATTATCCTTTATGAGTTGATTTTGGTCGAACCTTTGGTAGTATATGTTGCTGGACTGAATCCTTTGTTTTCGTTTCTTATGAACGGTTTATTTTTGCTAAGTTTAATCATGAATGGTGGTAATGTTTTGACCAAAGGGAAATCCAGTTTTTTTTCTTGTGCCAATCTAATTTTTCATCAGTTTTTCTTTTCTACCTTTTCTAACGTTATTGGGGTTAACAATGTTTCATTTATGAACCAAAATGGTCAATAATAGTGGATAGTTCTAAGAACAAAAGGTTTAAAAGCCTAAATAGTCTAATACCTGCGAAACAAAGTTTTCATCCAGAGTGTTATTATTAGTCCAAATGAAAGAAAGTGATTTTTTCTAGAAAGAATTAAGAAAAATGAAAAAATTAGTCATAATTATACAGCGTTAAACCAAAATGGGTGAATGATTAAAACCAGGTCTGAAATTTAATTGGATTAACTAGCTGTGATACGTAAAAAGAGACTTTGAATAGAAAGCAAAATAAGTTGACGTTTCCTACACATATATAAAAGCTCTGTCTTTCTGCGAAATTTCTGCTCACCTAAATCCGCGGAATCTGATTTCTTTTCCCGGGGCTTCTCTCTCGCCGGAAAAGCCTTGTAATTTTGATTTCAATTCTTTCGGATTTTATTATTATTGTCGGAACTGTTGGAATTCTCGGGAGCTCACGGAATCAATGGGGACTCCGGAATTTCCAGATCTGGGGAAGCACTGCTCCGTCGATATTTGCAAGCAGATCGATTTCTTGCCCTTCACCTGCGACCGTTGTCTCCAGGTCCCTCTCTCTCTCTCTCTATCTCCGTCTCTGTTTGGAATAACATGCAAATGATCATCTTTATGTTTGTTGCGAATGGTGTATGACTATTACCGAATGCCATATCTTTGATCCTTGGATCTACGATCGATAATCATGCTGTTTATTCCTTTTCTTGCTGGTTTCGATTTTGTGTTTGTGAACCAAAGAGAAGAAGTCTATGTCTTTCTCTTAATCCCCGCAATAAAAATTATCATTTTCATTGAAGTAGAGGCTATTCTTTACTTTTCCGCATTTGTTGTGAAGTCGATTGTGTATTTATCATTGAAGATTTGATTTTTTATTTCTCCGGCTTATCTCTGAATCTAATGTCAAAATGTTTTCTTTGGTCTGGAAGAAAAATCTCACCTTTTCGTTCAAAAATTTCAGGTGTTTTGTTTGGATCATCGGAGCTATATGAAACATACTTGTCCAAAAGGGGACAGAGAAGATGTGACCGTGGTTATCTGCCCGCTCTGTGCTAAAGGAGTCAGGCTAAACCCAAACGAAGACCCAAATATCACATGGGACAAACATGTCAACACCGACTGTGACCCATCAAACTACGAAAAGGCCACAAAGAAGAAGAAATGTCCTGTTCCAAGATGCAAGGAGCAGCTTACATTCTCCAACACCATCAAGTGCCGTGATTGCAACATCGATCACTGCTTAAAACACCGTTTTGGACCTGACCACACTTGTCCTGGACCCAGAAAACCCGAACCAAGTTTCCCATTCATGGGTTTCCTGAGTAGTAGTGGTAGTAGCAGAAAAGAAGCTAAAACAACAAGACCCAAGAAAGCTCCTGCATCAACTTCATCTTCTTCTTCTTCTTCTTCTTCTTCAAGATGGTCTAATCTTCTTTCTTCAGCAGAAGCTGGAATTAGCAGACTCGGTAACGACATTAGCCATAAGCTTCATTTTTCGAGCAGCACCAATGACGGTACCGTGGAGGTGTGTCCACAGTGCGGTGCGAAATTCTCTTCGGTTGCTACTCTTGTGGAACATGTAGAGAATACGCATGAGAGGAACAAGAAGCAGAATCATGGCAAAGCCACGGTCGATGTTTGCCCTAAATGTAGCAGAGGATTCCGTGACCCAGTGGATCTTGTGAACCATATGGAAAGAGATCACCGAGGTACTTCTAGAGCATAGTGCCTCACTCACATTTCTTGTGAGATACTCCAACATTTCTTGAAAGACTCATGTCTACAAATGTAGACTAATTTTTTGCATATGAAAACTTAGTGTCTCTGGATTATCAGTTCTGTTTTCCATGTACGAAAGTTTCACATGTTCTTCTTATAAACGGTTTATTTTCTTGGGGTCAAACTCTTAACCGTGTATTGTCTAATGAAGTCATCATTAGCGCGAGTTATCCGCGGGAATTTTTACCTAATTTACGCGGTAATTAAAAACAGATTGCCGACCCCACGTGCTGCAATTAACGACGTTACAGAAAGCTAACTTAACGGTGCAATAAACGTAATCAATTTTGTCACATCATTTTCTTCTTCTGCGTAACTATATAAAACGTGATCTTGTCGAAAGAATTGGATTTAATTTGATCAGTATTATACGATTTTTTTTTATAAAAAAATAGGTTACTTGACTCATTTAAGAGTGATCATCCCATTGACTTTGTTCTACGAATTTTTCTTTTAGTACATAAATTATTTTCAGGGTACTAAAATGAAAGTAAATTTTAATTTATAAATTAATCCAGATCATGCCCACACACACTGTATGACAGTATGAGTAATTAACTAATTATAGAATCATTTAGAAGATTTATCTTGCTTTATTTGCACTGTATGAGCTGGCGAAAATGGAATAACTACCCAAAGGAAAATTATAATTATTTTTCGGGAAAAAATAAAATAAATAAAGGAGCTGTTATTCGCATCCGACGGCTGAGATAATTTCCTATCAGAAAAAAAGATCAACAGTAATTCCAAAGAAAAATTAAAAAAAATGAAAATAATATAGCAGCAACGAAGCGGCAGAAGAGGTGGTGGAACCCGCGTCGTGCCGTTGAAACGTATATCTGAGGAAGAAAAAGAAAAAAGAGGATCAATAGCTGGAAGCTTGCCGGACGATCCGGCGACTAAATTCTACTCAGAGAAACAATCTGAGGGATCAAAATTTCCAGTTTTCCGGTTCGTTGCCGATCAAAATTCAGTCACCATTTGGCTTATTTGAGCTTTGATCTGAGGTAAATTTGATGTTTTCTACGTTGAATCAGTCTGTATAAAATGTCATCTGCGTTGTTAAATTCATTTGATTTCTCGGGTTGGGGGATGGTTTTCAGACTTTCTATGTGAATTCATTTTCGGCGGATTCTGGATTTATACAATCAATGGATTCCGTTTGATCAATTTTCTGCAATTTTTGGATATTTTTTTCAGGCGGACGCTTGAGCTTTAAAGGAGTGCCTTCGTTTAATCGTCGAGCTCTGTTTTCCTTCTTGCCCGAGGAAGCTCTAGGGCTTTTTCGGTGGATCAAGAGGGAGGAGATATCTAAGAGACTCAATAGGATTTGAGGAATTGAGCTTTTTTTTTTTTTGTATATCAGTGAGGGGTTTTGGGTTAGAATCTGGGTTGAAGGATGAGTGCAGTCTCGGGTGTAATCTCGAGGCAAGTTTTGCCTGTTTGTGGTAGCCTTTGCATACTTTGCCCCGCGCTGCGTGCAAGGTCTAGACAGCCTGTGAAGAGGTACAAGAAGCTCATTGCTGATATTTTCCCTCGTAATCAGGTTTGTTTTTTCGCCCTCTTCTTCTATCCGACTCATGTTGACTTGCTTGCTTTCCCTTCTCTATGTTAAAGTTTTTGTCGATCTGCATTTCATTTCGCTTTGAGTCATTGTCTAGTGAACGAGACATTATAGAAAAAGGGGAGCTTCCCGCTTGATTCACTTACCACTGCTTAACATTTCTGACAGGAGGAAGGCCCAAATGACCGGAAGATAGGAAAGCTATGTGAGTATGCTGCAAAGAACGCTGTGCGTATGCCAAAGGTATCATTTTTTTCCAAAAGCCAAGTCTAGGCGCATTAGCTTTTGAAATCTTATGTTAGAACTGAATGTTAGCAATTTCTTGATACTTGGTTTTGGTCAGTTCATATATATGAGTCAGTTTACTCGGCATAGCAATGTTGTCAGATTGCTTTTCTTTACGATGTTCCAGATATCAGATTCTCTCGAGCAAAGATGTTACAAGGAATTGAGGAATGAGAATTTTCAGTCGGCAAAGATAGCCATGTGCATATACAGAAGGCTTCTGGTCACTTGTAAGGAGCAAATGTGAGGTCATCCTTCTTTTGCTTTCTTTACAAACACCTCACATGTTCTCTTGTGTCCCAGATATTATGTGGCTTAACACAAGAACCCAAGAGATACTATTTCACATGTTATCATAAGAGCAGGAGTATAAGTAACTTGATTATTTTTCTTTATTTTTTCTTCAGGCCTCTTTTTTCTAGTGGTTTTTTAAGGACAGTGCAAGCTCTTTTGGATCAAACTCGACAAGATGAAATGCAAATAGTTGGATGTCAGTCTCTTTTCGAATTTGTAAATAATCAGGTCAGCTTCTTACATATCTGATAGAATCTCTTGTAGCCACATGTCAGGGTGCTTTCAGATAGAATGGTTAATGACTTATGAATAATAGCATAAGTGATTCATGCAATCAAATTTTGCAGAAGGATGGCAGTTCCCTCTTTAACTTAGAAGGCTTTCTCCCAAAGCTGTGCCAATTAGCACTGGAAGGTGGGGATGATGAAAGGTCGCGGAGCCTGCGTGCAGCAGGACTTCAATCCCTTTCAGCAATGGTAATACTGTTATGCTGCTGTTTCTCTAGCTACTTTTTATATATATTGTAAATCTGCAAGTATCTTCTGATACATTCTGGTCCGTTTATCTATTTCCAGGTTTGGCTGATGGGTGAATACTCTCATATTCCCAGCGACTTTGACAATGTAAGTAACTCTTTTGCTTTTTTGAAAGGTATCTTTTGGGTTCCCGGGTTCCAATATATAGTGATCTGCTTTCCTGCATCGGAAGCAATTGATTTGTGTTATCTAACCATAGATAAAGTAGGGAAAACTCTGTTAGTTTTCTTTTCCAAAATTTCTTGGCCAAAGGTTCAAAATACCATAACAATCTACCAGTTGTAGTTAATTTATGTAGAACTGGGAGTTTTGCTAGAACTATATCTTAGTAAAGTGTTAGGTAGTGCAGGACCTACAGGTAAAATTTGTTAACTGATCAGATTGATACTTTCATGGCAGGTTGTCTCAGCAGTCTTGGAAAATTACGGTCACCCAAAAAAATTAACAACTGCTAATGATAGTGGCAGAAAATGGGTGGAAGAAGTCTTGAAAAATGAAGGCCATGTAGCTCATGCAGATTACCTCATAAATGTCCCTTCTTGGAGGACGGTTGTGAATGACAAGGGTGAACTCAGCGTGAAAATGTAATTTCTTCTCTTGTCAGTTGTGTTTACGTATGCTTTTTTGGATTCTTTTCTTCTCTTCAATATATCTTTTCTTTTTCAGGGAAGATTCTTTGGACCCTAGCTTTTGGTCCAAGGTTTGCCTGCACAACATGGCCAAGCTAGGTGAAGAGGCCACAACCATGAGACGTATACTCGAGTCTTTGTTTCGTTACTTTGACGTGGGATATCTATGGTCAACGGAAAATTCGATTGCACTCCCAGTTTTGAGGGATCTGCAATTTTTGATGGAAATATCTGGTATTAGGCTCTCAATATTTTGCAGTTTTAGTTCTTCAATTGCATGTTCAGTGCTCTAAAATTGTTTTGCAATCTTGCAGGGCAACGAACACACTTTCTACTGTCCATGTTAATTAAACACCTTGACAATAAAAGTGTGCTAAAACAGCCAAGCATGCAGCTCAACATTTTAGAGGTTACCTCCTCACTTGCTGAAAATGCAAAAGTTGAACACTCAGCAGCAATAGTCAGCGCAATAAGTGATATCATGAGGCACCTAAGAAAGTGCATGCATTCTTCTCTAGATGAAGCAAATCTGGGAACTGAAGTAGCAAATTATAACAGAACGCTCAGTGTAGCTGTTGATAAGTGCCTCGTACAACTAATGAAAAAGGTATATTACTACCATTCTTAGAGGGAATTTATAGCTTCTTCTTCCTCTTCAATAGATTCATCTTTGAAGAGATGTGAGACTGATCCGTCTATTTTCTAAGGTTGGAGATGCGGGCCCAATTCTAGATGCTATGGCTATGATGTTGGAGAATATCTCAGCTGTCACAGATGTAGCAAGAACCACAATTGCTGCTGTTTTTCGGACCGCTCAAGTTATAGCCTCTGTACCAAACTTGTCATATCAGAACAAGGCAAGCTCCTAGTACCATCTAGTATTATTTATTATCTTGTCGTTGAGAGATTAGACCAATTCTGATCAGATTGCTAAGCAATGGTTACATTTTCTCATTACAGGCTTTTCCCGAGGCCTTATTCCATCAGTTACTTCAAGCTATGGTCCATCCAGATCATAAAACACGAATTGGCGCCCACCGTATATTTTCTGTTGTGCTGGTACCAACCTCGGTCCGCCCCCGTCCCTCCTCTACCACTACTGACCTTAAGAAAGGAATGGGTCTTCCTCGTTCACTTTCAAGGACCGCGTCTGTCTTTTCCTCCTCTGCAGCCCTTTTCGAGAAGCTGAAGATGGATAAATTTTCGGCAATTCTAACTTCTGATAGAAACCAAAACGAAATGCCTGAGGAAGAATCTGGAATCAACAGGGTGGAAATCCTTGACAGATTGAAATCTTCATACAGTCAGGCATATAGCACTTGGAATCAGCCAGTAACCTCGGTAGCAGATAACTCTGTGGATATTCTAAACTCTGAACTGGTACATATTTCATTTCATTTTGATGTGAAAAAGCTTATTGGATTAATATTTCAGTTCTTATTGACCTTAAATGAGACCCTGGAGGCCTATATATATGATGGAACCAGAGTATATTTAATATTTCAATGCAAAGTAGTCTCTGAATTTGTTTACACTACTCCAACTATGGTTACACAATTATTATTATATAGAAAGTCTTCTTCCTATGTGCCATGAGATAGCTACATCTTTTACTTGAAAGGGGTCGTTTGTTTAATGTTCAGGATTCATTCAATCGGTTTTAGGCCGCACAAAAACCTGTTCCAGCTCTTTCCTTTTGATTTATGCGTAGTTCTTAGATCAGTCTCCATTCTCTAATCTTATTTCTTATGTGCTCCTCAGGATGCTATTTATATAAGGCTAAGTAGTCACCAGATAGGTCTTTTGCTTTCATCAATCTGGGCGCAGTCCATATCTCCTGCAAATACACCAGAAAATTATGAGGCGATTGCTAACACCTACAGTCTTGTATTGTTGTTCTCTCGTGTTAAGGTAACACATGTTCATATCTCAATACTTGCAAGTTTTTTAATTGTTTTTAACATCTATGATCAATATCTTACTAGATCTCCTTAAGAATTACTTGCTAACAACTTTTTGTTAAATATATCACCACATTCGTTTCTTTCAGAATTCAAGTCACGATGCTTTGATTCGAAGTTTCCAAATGGCACTGTCTTTGCGAGATATTTCTTTAATGGAAGGAGGTGAGCTTACACATGTTTTTGATCCTCTATCCTTGGTTTTTGGTTTGGAAACTTATATGTAGACTCTTATCTAACATGGACATCAAATTGGAAAAAAAACATTTTTTTGTAACATTAGAGGAAAAGAACAAGTTCTTGGTTTCTTGAAATTTCCTAGATATATGCTGAAGTAAATATCCGTAGAAATTATCTTTGAGAGAGCTATGTGTTACTTTGAGACTCTGCTTCAGATCATTTGGGATGTTAGTAATTTGTTCCTACTATTTCAGGACCACTTCCTCCATCACGTCGAAGGTCACTCTTTACTCTGGCTGCATCAATGGTTCTTTTTTCCTCGAAAGCATTCAATCTTTTTTCTCTGGCTGATTTCACAAAAGTAGCACTTCAGGGACCAACGGTACGTTGATCATTCTGATGAAAATGTTTCCACGTTGGTGTTTTGATTTTCTTCTAATTATTGCACGCAACTCAATTTGTTACGCAATATTATCGAGCTCTTGATAGTTGCACCAGACTTCTATACTCTATATCTTCTTATGGTAAAATCTATGGCATGACACAGAGAGAAATTATTCCCCATTTTGCGTTAACTTCCTCTTCTTCTTGATTCAGCTTGACCCATTCTTGCACTTGGTTGAAGATCACAAGTTGAAGGCTGTAAATTCAGATCAGCTGCTGACAGTTGGGTATGGATGCGAAAAAGATGATGCTTCCGCTTTAGATACTCTTTCAAACATAGCAGTGTCCACTGAGCATAGCAGAGGAACACTTGTCTATGAAATTGTCAAAAGCTTAGAAGATATGTGCAATGTAAGCGTTTCCTGTCACTACCTTTCCACTTAAGCGCTCTTAACTAAGCTTAGCTTTCCGTATTTTGGAAAATCAATTGATAACCACAGTAAACTATTTGTAGTCTGAAATGGACAAAATGCGGGAGCAGCTGCTCACGGAGTTCATGCCGGATGATGCATGTCCACTTGGAACCCGGTTTTTAGAAGACACCCAGAAATCCTTTCAGGTTGAATTCGGAGATGTTAAACCCCAAAAGGTACTAAGCTCTTCCGCTTCCCATAACTCTTAAAACCTTGAGATGAACATTGTGTTGAACCTTGGCCTGTATCTTCAGGATGCGGCACTCTTCTCTCACGAGGATCAAGAATTTGGATATGGCACTGAAACAGTTGCAAAGAACGATCCTGTAACAGTTGCTGAAATCCCAGACCTCTTGACCGTCAATCAAATTCTAGAATCTGTAAGTTCATGTTCTTGTCTTCCTAGAAATTAGATTACAAAGTCACCACCAAGACTAACTTAGTTATATACTTCTTTTGCTTCGTTCGAAGGTCGTAGAGACAACACGTCAAGTGGGTAGGATTTCTTTCCATACTGCAGCCGATGCTTCATACAAAGAGATGACGCTTCATTGTGAGAATCTGCTAATGGGAAAACAGCAGAAGATCTCGAGTCTTTTGCATTCTCAGCTACGGCATGAGAGTTCTGTTAACTGCTCTCCACGACAACATGTTGAAGAGGTTAAGATCGCAACTTTCGATCCTATGATGAATTCAGCATTTCAAACCGAGGTATGCCTTTGCTATATATACGACTCCCTTTTATATCATATATCTGCTGACCAATTTGGCTTGAAACCAACTCAAGCTTCTGGTTTTATCTTCCAAGACAATCGTCTAATCATTTTTTCTGCTCAGTTTGAAGCCCCGTTACTGGCGAAGGAATTTGACATGAAATCACCAAGAACACCAATGGGAATGAAATCGCCAAGAACACCAATGGGAACTATTCAGACACAGTGTCATTCAGAACTCCAAAACAACCCACAAGCTTATAAACTACCAGCCTCAAGCCCTTACGACAACTTCCTTAAAGCTGCGGGCTGTTGATCATCTGAGAAGATTCAAACCATGATTCGCTTTGAGTTCAGTCAAGAACTCAAAAACAAAATAGGTTTGCTTGGGTTGTCAAAGTCTTTGAGAGTTACGTTTTTTTAGTTTCTTTAGCAACATCGGAATAATCTGGAGTCGTGCTATACTTAGATCATTCCCTCGTAGGTTTCTTCTCCTATCTTCTTTCTCTTTTGCTTTTTCACTTATTCTTTTATCCAATTCATTTGTTTCTTCTTGGTGTGAAATGTAAAAAAATTTAAAAGAGGCCATCTGGTTTTCAGGTGGTTTTGTAATCTAAAGATTATTTGATTCTACACACATAAAAGGCTTTGTTGAACAGTTTCACCAAGATGTACATTGATTCTTCTATCATCCAATTTATAATATGTGCAATTGGATAAGCAACTTAACCATAAGCGAATCCAAGATTGTAATTCATCATAAAACTCTATATAAATAATACACAGATGAGAGAAGCTCGCATATATAGGAATGCGTTTTTGTATATGAATGTCACAGAAAGGAACTATATATATCATCACCATATTCATTTTCTCATTGGCTTAGCTTAACCTCTTGAAGCATTTCAACTACTTTTTTCATCTTTGGCCTTTTTGCAGGTGTCATGTCTGTGCAGAGCAATGCAACTTTCAAAGCTGCAAGCATCTCTCTCCTCCAAGCAAAGGACACTGTGCTAAGCTTGGCATCAAGTATCTGTTCCGGTGTTTCTCCTCTCGCTGAAGCTCCATGGACCCATTTAACCAAATCTACTCCTTCACCAAACTCTTCCTCGACCGGCGCTCTTGAGGTTAGAATCTCAAGCAGCACAACTCCGAAGCTGTAGACATTCCCCGGTGCAGTCACTTGCATTGTGTATGCATACTCTGCGGAAAACAAAAAACCAAGGAAATGTGTTGAATATTTTGAAGTTATTTGGTAACAAAAACTCAAGACTTTATACCTGGAGGAATGTAGCCAAAGGAACCAGCAACTGAGCTAATACTTGCAGTGCCTCGGGATGGATCTAAAAGTTTCGATATTTCGATTTCCCCAAGTACGGGTTTGTAACCAGAGTCTAGCAAGACATTGCTAGAGGAAACATCAAGGTGGATGATGGCGACATGGTGGAGAAACGCTAAGCCTTCTGCTACTCCAACGGCTATGGACAGTCTCATTGGCCAGTCGGGTTGGTACTCTGGTTTCTTGGTGGACTCATGAATCAGCTGAGCTAAGTTACCATTAGGTAAATGCTGATGCAACAAGAGAGCAACATCGTCGTATATAACAAACCCGATCGGTGTAACCAAATGGTCATGGCAGAGTTTGCTGAGTCTTTCGAGTTCTCTGATCATCTTGCTCTGATGATGAGTTATGGCTCTATCCATAGACTTGAGCTTCTTCACCGAAACAATCATCCCTGAAGGCATAACGGCTTTGTAAACCGAACTGAAAGTTCCTGTGCTGAGTTTATTTGACTCCTTCATAGTTGCTTTCACAACTGCATCCAGATCAATTCCCTGTTTGAGATTCTCAAGGAAGACATTTCCCGCTATAATGGCTGGTTGCTCATCCTCAACGTTCTCTTCAACGTCGACGTTTTTAGCCGCTGCTTTCTCTTGTTTCTCCCTCATCATGAAGAGAAGAACCACCACAGTGACTGATACAAAGACAGCAACACCCGAACCAATCACTGCAAGCACAATCCTGTAGGAGACTTTGTGATTGTATCTCAAATGGTCAAGATCATCGGAATATCCACAGGAAGAGCTCAATGGCGCTCCACAAAGCTCTTTGTTTCCCGAGAAGCTCGAATTCGGAGACTTTTGAAATGGGACAAAGACTGGAACTGGGCCAGTCAAGAGGTTGTTTGAGAAATTAACCTCGATCAAACTCATCATACCTTTTAGTGGTTGTGGTATGGATCCTGTAAGCAAATTGTTAGAGACATCCAATGACACGAGCTTGTCGAGTCTTCCTAACTCGGGAGGCAACGTTCCGTGGAGATGGTTGAAACTCATGTTGAGTGCTATCTGCAAGTTCCTCATGCGACCAATCTCGGGAGGAATGGTTCCCGTCAAGTAGTTTCGACCCAACTGAAGCTCAAGAAGCTTCACACAGTTTCCAATCTCGTGTGGTATGTCTCCTCTTATGGAGTTCTGATCAAGAAGCAGATACTGAAGCCTCGGCATGCTGCAGAGTTCCTTAGGGATGGTGCCGTTGAGTCTGTTGTTGCTTAAATCGAGCTTGTTGAGGTTTCCACAGCCAAGAAACGATTTAGGGATTTCCCCAAAGAGACTGTTCCCTGAGAGAATCAGTTCTTGAAGATTCGTAAGCTGACCAAGCTCTGTTGGGATGGTTCCAGCGAAACCATTTGCTGCCAAATTCAGTAGAGTGAGATTGGAACACCTTGAGAACTCTGCAACAATCTCACCTGAGAGACTGTTGTTGTCTGCTTCAAAGTAGGTAAGTCCAGTGATGTTCCCGATTGTCCTCGGAATGACTCCCACAAGCTCGTTATTCCCAATCCTAATGCTCGAGAGGCCGCTGCAGATTCCTACCGCTTCAGGGAGTTCACCGGTCAATCTATTCTGTGTCAAGACCAAAACTTTAAGCTTCCCTTTCCCAAAAATCCCCTTTGGAATCTTCCCCTCAAGCTGGTTTGAGTGAAGATTCAACAATTCCAGTTCAGAAACCGAACCTAACCCATTCGGTATCTCGCCTCCTAATCTATTCTCATAAGCTGTAAACACCCTGAGATTGCTCAGATTCCCTACCCAGTGAGGTATAGAACCATCTAACCGATTTCCAGAGACCTGAAACTCCTCTAACCTCTCTAGAACCATAAGCTCATCAGGTATCTCTCCCACAAGCAAGTTATTTGAAATGTTGAGTGCTCTAAGCCCTTTAAGCTTACTAAACTCAATTGGAATCCCTCCAGCAAAATGATTCAGAGACAAATCAAGAAACTCGAGCTCGGACAAGTAGCCAAGAGATGCAGGAATTGGTCCGTTGAAGTTGTTACCAGAGAGATCTAGATGCTTTAAGCTTTTGAGGTCAGAGATTAGAGTGACATTACCTCTAAGCTGAAGCCCTGAGAGATCAAGCATCTCAACAAACGAGTTGTTGGCACCACACTTGAGCCTAACCCAAGTACAATAGTCTGTGCCATTGCTACTCCATCCTGGAACTCCGAGCTCTCTGTTAATGGCCACCAATGCGGCTTCATCGCTTAGCTGAGCTTCACCAAAATCAGATTTTGACAGGAACCCAACAATCAGGAGGATTGACATGCACCAGAATGCCATTTTTTGGTGAAATTTCAGGTTAGAAAATTAAATCGATCGCACACTCTTGTTCTTCTTCCTCCCCAAACACATAAAAGAGACTGATTGATTGACAAAAATACCATTTGATTAAGCCAATGGAAGTAGAAGCATCAAGAAAGTGAGAGTGGAAAAGAAAAGTCTTGCTCTTTTCGCCATGAAACCCGGATTAAAGCTCTGGTTTTTGAGTCAAAAATAGCTGTTTCGGAACAAAACCCATCTCAGATTTGGGAAGAAAAGGAAGTGCTTTAGAGTGTGACTGTGAGTGTGCGTTAGAGACAGACAGAGAGAAAAAGGGAGAGCAAAGCCCATAATTTCGGGGAGAAAAAAAGAGAGGAAAAACCCATCAGAGAACAAAGAGAAGAGAGCAAACAAAATTTGATCATAGAGTAGGGTCTATGCGTAGAAGAGAGAAGAGAATGCATTTCATGTTTCTTTTTTTTATATATATATCACGAAATTATGATTGCAGAACCAAACAAAGATCCTCACTTCAGATAGAGAGAGAGAGAGAAAGAGGAGAGAGACTCCACAAAGCATACGCACTTGGAAAGGAGGGAATTTTTTTCTTCTTTTTTTTATCAATTTTTTTAATATATACAAATATTATATTAATTTCTGATACAAAGTTTTATTTTTTTCACGAGACAGTGCAAGCGATTGAATGAATGAAAGCTGCATAAATTTCTCTGACACATTTTCTGCTTTTTGAAAAAAAAAATTAAATTTATAGAAAAGATTAAAGAAAAATGTACTGTGTACGTTTTGATAATTCTTTGTTTTTTTCTTTTACCTTATGAAATCTACTCTATTTTTTTATTATCCCAATGCAGATTAAATCAAGGTCCCAAGTTTATTATACACACTTTGCAATTATTCATCTATACCATAATATATAATTTAAAAATACTTAAATGTTAAAATTATTTTGAGTTTCAGGTCTCAAGTGATTGGCTAAAATTGTTAATATATAGTTCAATATACGAAATGTACTTTCTCGTTTAGTTTATGACGATATATAACGAGACCATAACGTTTTAAAAAGATTCAATCCAATAAATGTTATTTACCTCATGTCACTAACGTTTAGTGAAGCGTTTAATAATGTTTCGAAGACTAAATCTTAATTTGTGTAGCTTTTAATATATTTCAATGTGTATATTGTTTACACATACAAATCAAATGAAAGCCGAGAGTTGTTTTAAAAAGCTGGGGGAATCAAATCCTCTTTATTATACTATTATGTAAAAAGAAAATCTCTAACTTAAATATATTTTCCTATTCGTAGCAAGGATTTTTAGCCTACAGTCTCTATTATCTTTTACATCTACGTTTGACATGCCATTAACACCTTTTACCATCGGGAATCTACCTTCGTGTGATGATGTTTTGTTGATTACTTTAAACACGATCGATGTTTGAAGTTATCAGTTTTGATGACATTGATGAATATAATACTCCATACAACTATAGATTAAAGAATCACACGAGGTGGAAGATTATTTATTCGTCTGCATAATGGTAATATCAATGAATATGATTGATTTTCGAATTAATAAAACATATACAAATAATTACGCGTAACATTGTTTTTGTGTTGTGTCTTATGTAATTAACGATTCAATGCTTGAATGTTGTTGGTAGAAGACATGTTTTCTCAAACGTCTGGCTCAAACATCAACATTAGTCTCTTTTCAATTATATGAATACTTATACATTTTCTCTATAAGAATAAAATTCATGTTCTGCATATTAAAAACAAAACACAGCAAGTAACTTTTTTTCTATGGAGTTGTGAAGACATCGATTAGATACGTCAGTTTATAATATTGTGTCTTTGACTAATTTTTTAAATAGTCTTTTTAATTATATGTTTATCGCCGTGTTGATGATCATTACTAGCAAAATAATAGTAATCGCACTCTTGCAAACGAGTTTTATACACAACAAAAGAATACTCAAATATGTGAGGGAATCCGTATTTTGTTTCATTATTTTCATTAGTGCATCTGAAAGTGAATCTCAAGTTTACGAATTTGAGTTACTCATTCTAAATATATGAAATTTACTAGTTCTAGTTAGTCTTCGTCACTGAAAGTTATTAGCGATCAAATATATATAGTGATCTAAGATTTTAATGCCTAAAACTCAAAGTTTATCAGAAAAATATATTCTTTTTTTGCTGCTAATAATCATAATTCTTTTCAAAAAAAATTAGAGTAAATTTATTTTAGAATTATACTATTATAGAGTGAGAATAATAGAATGAGAAGGAGTGGGGTTCAGTCACATGATGGGTAAAAAAGGAAAGTGGCTCTTACGGTTAGGCAAATTGTAGGGCCCAATTTTGTCTGCCCCGGCCCACCACCACCACTCACCCCATCGTCCCATCGTCTTTGTTCTTTCTTTTTCTATTTCCTAATTTATTAATAGTAGTTTTTCGGTCTTTCTGCTATTTTTTTTTTATAAAATGTGAAATTTTATACTATTTTAAAATTTTGACAGAATACAGAGATAACTAAAATAGCAGAAAAAAAACCGAAAAATAATGAAAAAGCATAAATTACAAACAGATAACAAGAAGAAGATGACAAAACCAATACGATAATTTATTAATACTAGTATAATATTAGAAAGTTTTGTTTTCTCAAATCCAAACTAATCCCAAACAGTATTCCACTCTATATTAAAAACGTCCTAGATTTCGTTTTTTAAAAAAAATTCCACAAACTCGTAATAGTCGTATACCAATAAACTGTTGACTTTCTTCTGGATTTTGTAGATTTCTCCTAATCAAAAAATATCAGGATAGCTTACTCTAACAGTACGAGAGTAGTTTGGTCTTTTGAAATGAAAATGTTCTTTTAGCTTATATATTTTTTTTTACGTGTGAATCGAATTACTTTGGTTTGGTTTATTGGCATTAACTGTTTCATATTTTCACGATATGAGTTATAAATATGCTTTTTTTTTTATTGATTGATTAAATTAGGTTCTGATTTTTTGATAAATAAACTGATACTATTAGATGAATCCATCACCAAAAAAATCATAAGAGCAGCAAGCAAAAGATAAGACATAATGATGGAAGCACTTCGTCGCTTTAAACTCGTGAAGAAGGGGAGAGATATAAGAAGATATTCTAAAAAGGTTAAATTAGTTGTTCTAAATTTTCAATAATTAATAACTAAAGAAAATGTTTAACCAATGATTACAATGAAACGATAAGTCATTAGCATATGAATGCTTTACCTATCAAGATAACTTTCTGCGTAATCATTTGTGAATTGCAATTCATGACCTTGCTTTCGAACTCTTAAAACGAAGATCAAGCCGAGATTTATGCTCTCATCATTACGGATTTGCGGATTGTCGTACCAAAAGCTACTTATCCTCATTAATTAATTACTAATATTGTTTATGCTTACCAACCGTACGTTATAATTAGCGTTTCCCTTCATCAAAATTTATAGAGATATATACTACAAGGTAGCATCATAACGTTTTTTTAAGATAATGTTAAAAAATTACAAGAATCTATAGTTATTATTTGAAACGAAGAATAAAAATATAACGAATATAAAAAGTAAAAGGAAATGTCAAAAGGACATAACTCGGCTGTCCATCTTGTAGTGTACCAAATGGGGCATGTGGAAGGTTGAAGGAAAGCTATCCCCACTTTTTGTTGATTATTTTCATCATTTTATACCATCTACTATTTTGTTTTCCTTTTTCCCAAAAGAAAGTGACTAAAAGAATTCATATATAAATATATATATATATATATATATATATTTTTGGCAGTAATATTGATTGAGACTTAGCTCTTCCTTTATCGGACACATATCATGACCTTTGGATCATGGTCTGTCCCTCTCCTTTTAAGCATTCGTCGACAGTTCTTTTGTTTTTCTCCTTCACTTTTCAACATTAAATTTTCGTAATATTGAAAACACAACAAATTCTATTTTCAAACTACAATCAAGGCTCCTCGATGTACAACAATTTGAACGGAACGGAGATCATCACAGTTTGGGCGTTGGGCCTAGCTGGGCTGTACTATAAATCTCATGGGCCAGCCGTAGAACTATTTCCATACCAAAATCCCATCTCCTCTCCACTGACCAAGAACAATTCCTAAAATACAAGCTTTTGTTTTTTTTTTCCTTGAATTAAAAGTTTGGATTCGAGTAACTGAAACCTTTAAACCCGTATGGGTTTCAAGCTAATCGTTCCTTATGTTGTTTGTGGTGCAAGCAAGAAGGCCAACTTTACTCCAAGATGTACACCTTCCTTCTTCCATATTCCTTCAATTCATTATTGCCTTTAAGCATTTTCTTTTACTTTTTGGGTTAATCCAAGATCGTTCAACAATACTTATGTTGGTTTAATTGGTTCTGCAAAACAACAAATAAACATATATGCCCATTATCATTAATATTAGGGTTTCATTTTTTGTGTTTGGTCTAATTTTTGAACTTTGAACAACTGTTTTCAGAGTGAGAAAGGATTAGGTTCGGTAAGGCTTTAGTTTAACATCATATTTTGAAACTTTGGTTCAGATTTGATTTTTGATTTTTTATATATATATATATATATAAATTGAATACATTTGAATTTTAACATTAATAAATATGGGTTATTCGGTTCCATTTTTTGGTGCATGATCATTTTGGTTTATCCAGATTAAATACTTCACCAAATGAGTTTCACTTGCTTTAACGAATGAGTAGGAATCCTAACGATGTTTATCCATCCTCCTAAATTAGCCAACAATCCTAACCCAAGTCTCTGTGCTGGCAGGTGCCAAAAAAGCTATGTGCGTGAAAGTGTACATTAGAGAAGTGTAGATTATAACTAACATCCATATAAATTGTTGTTTCGTGGTTGCACGGAAGACACAAGCGTGGTATGGCACGATCTACGACTCTACGAGCACAAGCTTCTTAGATATGTACTTATACCGTGACACCAAGTAGCTGGAGCCTTTTTCAATCTTTTTCATTAATTATCATTCTCTTGTTTGGTCAACTTTTGGCTGTCTTCCCATGTTCATGTCTTCGATTCCATCTTACAACATTTATGAATATGGAAGTCAAATGATAGTGTGTGGATCCCATCCCAGCATGTGAATTTTATAAAGTCAACGAGCTTTTTATAAATAAAAAAGTCAACCGTTTACTTGGTGACGGAGGATAAAAACTCTCTTCCCGTCGCCGATTTCATTTTCAAAATTCCGGCTATATGGAAACACAACGAGACCGAAATGAGTCAATATGTTTTGATTATCTGTAATTCTGTATGGGATACATCTGATGCCAATATTTGACAATACTTATATAATTACAGAGGATTACAAACCGTAAATCATTTTTCTCCATATACATGATATTAACTAAACATCATTAAAACGAAATCTCTTTTTATTTCTTGAACTAGCTAGTAGCATTTGAGTTTTTATTTATGTTTCTGATTTACTATAACATTACAAAAATTCTAACTACTTAAAAAAAAAAAAATCTTCTTCTTCTCCTTGTTTTTGATATTTTTCAAACTAATTTACGTACTCGAAAATTTTTTTCTTTATTTATTTATCTTTGTGCGGAATAAATAGGTATTGTTTTCATGAAATACATTGTACTTTAAAAGGACACGAGGAGAGCACATATGCATGTATGTGTGTGTACATACATATGTTGTTTAAATAAATTGTGCTATAGTAAATTAAATGAAAGAATCTAGGCACTTTGGAATCATATTTAGTTTTCCATTTTTTGACTAGGAGAGCAAATCACGCCGACTAACCGACACATACCATACTTGGAGGTTCATGATCACATCGTATATATATTTATATACATACACATGCAACTAATAATGTAATAACTAGTTGCTAATATTTAACTATTCCAAAACGAATTCATGATACTATATGAAATTTAGTGAACCCAAAAGAACTGAAAAGTTGTATATATTTGCTTATGATTCAATTACATAAACAAAAATACTTATTGTCATTGGTTAATCATATATAGAATTTGCTTAGCAATTTATTCAGAGGGGTCCTTACTCCTTAGTGATTTCGATTCACATTTCCAACTCTCGCGTGTGTGTGCCCACGGGTACCTTTATATCTTATATGCGTGTGCGAGGAAGGCAGGGGAAGCTCTTTTTACTCTTATGCGTGCTTGCAACTAGATATTCGAACCTCATGCATGTTTAATACTCTTTCCGTTTTTTTTATATATGATATTTAAAGTTTTGCATAAAGATTAAAAAGTTATTTAATTTTTTTTTTTTCAAAACAAAACATCAATTCAAAACAATTCAACCAATAGAAAAATAATATTATATAGAATAAAACAATTATTTTTTGCATTGATTTCTGAAAACATCATCTAATTATGAACAAATTTTTTTTTTAAAACATCTTATAAAAAAAACGGAGGAAGTAGAGTTTAGCTTTGTGAACTACTGTATATACACGCAAAGGTACAATTCGAAAAATCTTTTATTACACGAGTCAAGACTTTTATATATATATATATATATATACCTAAATCTATATTACTATAATCTTCAAATTTGTTATCGCTAAACAAAATATCAGCTTAAATATTTATTGACGTAGACCACATAATTTCATTAAAGATGATTTATTATGATAGTTTGATTAATTGTCAAAATTTGATTTTTTTAAAAAATATATTGCAACTAGTTTGATGAATAACATGATGGACAGTACGGCCATACCACAAATATTACGGCTCATTTCGTGGGGGTATTCTACGTGCTTCTACTTATCTTCCCTATCACATTCGTATTAATAAGTACGGTTGCATCGCCCTATATATATAATATATTCATATATCTCTTCCATCATTTTCTATTTCGAATAATTCCGAAATATCACAACTAAATTATTAGTGCGTAGGTCGGCTTATATATATAGCCCGTAGGATTGTGCATATATCATCACCCATTGGATAGTTAACTCTCTAATAATTGTACTTCCTTAATTAATAGGTAACAGTATCGATATACTGTATTAGAGTAATTTTGTTGTGTGTCGCTTAGCGTAAAAGCTCACGATGTCTCTCGCTCTCTCTCTTTGCTTGGCTTTCCTTCTTTCCCTTTGCCATGGTTCTCATAGCTTACCTGCACAACGGACTCCTCATCTTGATGGTAAGACCACTTTCATTAGTGCCTTATTAACACATAACTATCGCTGTTTTATTGTAGATAAGAGACAGTTGATATTGGCCGTTTTTGGAATTAAAGTGTAGCACTATTTTAATTTCAGTAAAAAGAAAAAAATATTTGACGTTTCAAATTTATTCATTTTTATCCTATATTTACCGGATACAAAGTACAACCTCCGATCATTTTAATTAATTAGACGGCAGTAATTTTGTGTAATAAGCCATTCCTCCGCCAATACCATCATATAGATGCATATATTAAGGTTTTCACATTATTGAAAATGTGAATTTTGGCTTTCAATGTTTCATGCAGGGCTTCTCCCAAATGGAAACTTTGAGCAAGTTCCTAACAAATCAAACATGAGAAAGAGGCAGATAATCGGCAAATACTCTCTTCCTCATTGGGAAATCTCCGGCCACGTGGAGTTAGTCTCCGGCGGTCCACAGCCCGGCGGTTTCTACTTTGCGGTCCCACGTGGGGTCCACGCGGCCAGGCTGGGAAACCTAGCTTCGATATCTCAGTACGTGAGAGTGAAGCGTGGCTTGGTCTATTCTCTAACGTTCGGGGTCACGAGGACTTGTGCTCAGGACGAGAACATACGAATCTCCGTGCCCGGTCAGACCAATGAGCTTCCCATCCAGACCGTCTTTAGCTCAGACGGTGGAGACACGTATGCTTGGGCTTTCAAGGCATCGTCTGATCTGGTTAAGGTCACTTTTCACAATCCTGGTGTTCAAGAGGACCCTTCTTGTGGTCCCCTCCTTGACGCTGTTGCCATCAAGGAGATTCTCCCCCTCCGGTTTAACAAAGGTAATTCATTAGCTGGGTTACTTCCGGTTTAGCTTTGTTCTTTGTTATCAAATCGGTTAGATTTTCATTTAGTTTTTCCGCGTTTCTCATCTTAGAAGAATAGTAGAGATTCTAGAGAATGGCATAGTTCGGATTTGCTTTTTAAATTTAATTACCAAAAAAGCGGTTTGGTTTTAGGAGGTGAAATCACTTTAACCAGAATTCTTCCACATTTCATTTGTTTTGCAATTTGGTCCTTATCTTTTAGAATTTTTGCTGTTTCATCCTTCAAATTTATTTGTCTTTGTAATAAATCAGGAAATCTTGTGAAAAATGGCGGATTCGAGATCGGTCCACATGTATTCAACAACTTTTCTACCGGAATCTTAATTCCGGCGAAGATACAAGACTTAATCTCACCACTTCCGGGATGGATCGTGGAATCTCTAAAACCGGTCAAATACATCGATAACCGTCACTTTAAGGTTCCTTCAGGACTTGCCGCAATAGAGATCGTCGCCGGAAGAGAAAGCGCCATCGCTCAGATAATCCGTACTGTCGCTGGTAGAAACTACATTCTCTCGTTCGCTGTGGGAGACGCACACAACGGTTGCCACGGGTCTATGATGGTGGAGGCGTTTGCGGGAAAAGAGGCGTTTAAGCTTCGATTTGAATCAGCTGGAAAAGGAGCGTTCAAAGCGGGACGTTTCAGGTTTCGCGCCGATTCGAACCGCACGAGGATTACTTTCTACAGTGGGTTTTATCATACCAAGCTTCATGACTTTGGACACCTTTGTGGGCCTGTGCTTGACAATGTTAGGGTTGTCCTGACCCGTTAAAATTTATGTGAATATCCTAATTTAATTATAAGAACTTCAATAATAACAATATTCTCTATTTGTAAGCAAATTTATCGAAACATTTACAGAGTCGAGCGGTTAGGTCTCATATATAATTTCTATATTTCTATAAAATATTTAAAGATATATTATGTTTCTTTCATCCAATTAGTAATATTACATGTATTATATATAATCTTCAATATTTAATATTGACGAAACATAGCATATGCACTGAACAGTCTGAACGAGATTAGTATCAGGATCTCTAGAATATATATATTTTATGTTAGTTAAATTCAAAACTACAAACTCCTTTTTTGCGGTTTAGTTTTGGACGTACATTTGACATTTTGACTTAAAGAGCAAATCATGGCGATGATTAATCAACGGAGACCAAATGTGGACTTCTGGAGCTCCCTTGTGTTAGTGTGTACACACATGACACATGGCGCAATTAATTATAAATCTCGTCGACTGTTTTCTTTGTTTAGACGTCAAGTTTCTTTATTAAACCAAACAAATTACTACGCCGATTGCAGAGAAAAGAACCAAAAAGGTTGACCATGTTTCGTTAACGTATGATTAAATATATACAGTTGTTGTGTAGATCACACAAAAATTTAACCAGGTTTCTAAGATTTAAATTTGGTTAATTAGCAGGTTACGTAAACTTCATGGTGCATTTTCCAGATCTACTAGATAAAATAGAGTCCAGCGGATCAGCTTATAACAATATGCTTCTCTAACATACATATATAATAAACTAGCTATCCATTGATTGGGTTGTAGGATTCATTACAATTCCATTTCTGGTTTATCTAACCAAAGGTAAGAATTATACGGGTTTATCTAACTAATGTGAATTGACTAGATGGAAATAAGGTGAATCATGGAATGCTTTTTGACTTTGTTGCTTTAATTCACTTTTCTAAAATTCAAAATCTCTCATGATAAAAGAAAAAAATCGCACAATTCACTAGTATTCAGCTCAATATGGCTCGTGATGTGCTATTAATCAAATCATATAAATGTTCAACGTCTAAGAAATTCGTGCTTGCATGTAAGGTTCGTCGCATATTTTTCAGCGTCATATTTCAGATTCCCACTCCACACAAAATTAGATACCGAGATTATATATGATAATCCAATCTGAAAAGTTAGTATTAATTAGTAATATTAGATCTTGTATACAACCGATATAACATGACAGACAATGAGTCACACAATGCGGCTCGTAAGGTGCTGCGGTCAGCAACGTGGTCCGAGTTTCACTTCATATCTCTTATGTATATAGTTTAATTTAAATACTTTTAAGTCTACATAAAAGATAAAACTATTATCTATACTTTAAATAAACCATTTTATTGTATACTTCCTAAAATGTACATGAAGCTTCTTCTTCTTTTCGTATTACTAATTTTCTCATGTCTTAGTGTTACCTACCCCTATATATAGCCCACATGGCCCTCCTTGATATAAGTAAACTAATTGGTAAGACCATTGATCTTAACCAACTTAAAAAATGTCTCTCTATCACTCTCTTTGCTTTCTCCTCCTCCTTTCTCTCTGCCATGGCTCTCACAGCGCCCGACCACGTCGAACTCCTCATCTCGATGGTAAGAAAATCACCATGTTTCATATTTCACTAGCTACTCCGACAAATTGCATGAATTTGTAATATTATGGTTTCTATGTATGTCTATAGGGCTTCTCACAAATGGCAACTTTGAGCAAATCCCTCTCAAATCAAAGATGAAGGGTCGACAAATAATCGGCATTAACTCTCTCCCTCACTGGCAAATCTCCGGCCACGTGGAGCTAGTCTTCGGTGGGCCTCAGCCCGGTGGATTCTATTTTCCGGTCCCACGTGGAGTCCATGCGGTTAGACTAGGAAACCTGGCCTCCATCTCTCAAGACGTGAGAGTGAAGCGTGGCTTGGTCTACGCTATAACGTTTGGAGCCACGAGGAGTTGTGCTCAGGACGAGAACATCAAAGTCTCTGTGCCTGGTCAGACCAATGAGCTTCCCATCCAGACCGTCTTTAGCTCAGACGGTGGAGACACGTACGCTTGGGCTTTCAAGGCAATGTCCGATGTGGTTAAGCTCACTTTTCATAACCCTGGTGTTCAAGAGGACCGCACGTGTGGACCTCTCTTAGATGTTGTCGCCATCAAGGAGATTCTTCCTCTCCAGTATACCAGAGGTAAACGGCTCCTTCAATTAACCGGTATAATAGATTCGGTTAATATTTCAATTTTTTTTGCATTTTTGGTCCTTGATTTCAGTTTGATATTTCTATTTCACCCGGTAACTTTTCATCCACGTAACAATGATAGGAAACTTGGTGAAAAACGGAGGATTCGAGATCGGACCACACGTATTCGCCAACTACTCCACCGGAATCCTGATTCCGGCAAGGATCCAAGACTTTATCTCTCCACTTCCGGGATGGATCGTCGAATCTCTCAAACCGGTGAAGTACATCGTTAAACGTCATTTCAAGGTTCCGTTTGGACAAGCCGCCGTCGAGCTCGTTGCCGGAAGAGAAAGCGCCATCGCCCAGATCATCCGTACCGTCGCCGGTAAAGCGTACATACTCTCGTTCACGGTCGGCGACGCGCAAAACGGCTGCCACGGGTCCATGATGGTGGAGGCGTTCGCGGGAAGCGAGCCGTTTAAACTTCCGTTTGTGTCGGAAGGTAAAGGAGCGTCCAAAACGGGGCGTTTCAAGTTTGTTGCCGATTCGAATCGAACCAGGCTAACCTTTTACAGTGCGTTTTACCACACTAAGCTTCATGACTTCGGCCATCTTTGTGGGCCTGTTCTTGATAGTGTTGTTGTACTCCCGGCCCATTAATAATTTGTGGGATACGCTGTGAAACTGTTAAATGAGATTGTTGGTATCAAATTTTCAAAATCAACTGATAAACGAGTTGGGTAATGTAACAATTAATACGAGACAAGGTGTCGATATAAGTCATTCATTCATATGCTACAAATATATAACGGATTCTAATTGAAGTATGATGATGTAAAAACTATAGATGTTTTACCAAAAAAAAAACCTATAGATCTTAACTTTTTATTTCAAAGACCATTACGTGGTCTTCAACCTTTTCTGTATGACTTGAGACTTCGTATGGAATAGTTCTATTTCTATTTCTATTTCTGTGACCTGTAAATATTCTATGAGACCGATTTGGATAACGTGGCGAATCGTATGCCGTTGATATTGTTCAGTCGTAGACTTTGGCACAGTTGATAACTTCTCTCTTCCTCTGTATTTCTATCAAAAAATTAGAGAAAAGCGATATTTATTATTTACGAAGAGCGACCGAAACCGAAAACTATCCTCTCAAGTCGTAATCGAACGAAGATGGCCGTCGAGGAATCGAACACGACGGTGGACGGTGTCGAGATACTGAAGCCACGTACGGACAACAGAGAGTATCGGAGGATTGTCCTCGAGAACTCGCTTCAAGTCCTGTTGATCAGCGATCCCGATACCGATAAGGTGTGACGTCGCTTCCTCGTATTTGATTCACTTTGTTTCTGATTCCTTTTCGTCTGTACTGATTCCAAAAAGTTTGATTCTTTTTCAAGTGTGCTGCTTCAATGAGCGTTAGTGTCGGATCCTTCTCTGACCCACAAGGACTAGAAGGCTTAGCTCATTTCCTCGGTACGTTGAATTTTTCAAGTTCTTGTGATTTTGAATTGTCTTCCACCTTAATTCGTGTGCCCAATAGTTATTTGCCATGGAATGATTCAATGATTGAGCTGTTTTCAGTGATTAAATCTGGTTTCGATTGTATCTCATATGATAATTTATTACTCCTTTTCTCGTTTTCAGAGCATATGCTATTTTACGCGAGTGCAAAATACCCAGAGGAAGATAGTTACTCCAAGTACATCACTGAGGTAATCTATATACATTTACTCGATAACTTGTTCTTCTGTTTCTTCTCTTTCCCACACGATATAAATTTTTGAGAAATATGGAATTTTCTTGGTGTAGCATGGAGGCAGCACAAATGCGTATACATCCTCTGAAGAGACAAATTACCATTTCGATGTTAATGCTGACTGTTTCAATGAAGCTTTGGACAGGTACACTTGTTGTTGTTTTTTCTTGCTAATCTTCTGCAATCTTTTTGCGTGTGTACGATTCTTATGTGGCTGCGTATATCAGATTTGCTCAGTTCTTTATCAAACCACTAATGTCAGCTGATGCCACCATGAGGGAGATTAAGGCTGTTGACTCAGGTTCGCTTTTTATTTTCTGTAAGTTTCTCTTGCTGCAATTCGTGAACTAGATTATAACGAGTTTTCTTTATTCAGAGAATCAGAAAAACTTGCTCTCTGATGGTTGGCGAATGCGACAGGTATAAGCTCTGGTCTGAACAAAATTATCTGAGTAAATTGTATTAAAACTATACTGTTACTGTTGAAGTATACATTTCAGCGGGTCGTTATGATAAAAAAAGTTTAATTTTTGATAGTGAAGTTCTTTTAACTTTTGATACTTTAATCTTTCCATGGCTGGAGATATATTATATATCTAGCAGCTCAAAAATCTTCTAACTTATAGTTATTTTTTTGTCATTTCCGTTGATAACAGTTACAGAAGCATCTAAGCAAAGAGGACTATCCGTTTCATAAATTTAGCACAGGTCTATATTCTAATTTTTCACTGATATTGCTATTGACTGCCGTTCATTATATGATATATTTGTTAGAATGGATATGAATAGTCAGTTGTGATTCCAATCATTTTCTCATGCTAAAAAGTGGGGTTTGTGCTTAGGAAACATGGATACACTTCATGTACGACCCCAAGCGAAAGGAGTGGATACAACGAGTGAGCTTATTAAGTTCTACGAAGAACACTATTCCGCTAACATCATGCATCTGGTTGTCTATGGGAAGGGTATGTTTTGTTGCTAAACCAAAATTTAAAATTCCTCTTTCTATTAAATAGGTGACATCAATTCTAATGTTTTTGCTCTGGGTGTTTTTAGAAAGCCTTGACAAAATTCAAGATCTTGTGGAAGGGATGTTCCAGGAAATCCAAAACACCAACAAAGTTATCCCTAGATTTCCTGGCCAGCCATGTGCTCCGGACCATTTGCAGGTGTTTGTTCCTTTCCCCAAATTTAGAATTTACTTTTACATGAAGAATAATTCATGCTTGAATGAATGTCTCTGAGGTGGTATTTTTTGGTGCTGCTGTATTATTTCGGTTTTAGATTCTTGTGAAGGCTGTTCCTATAAAGCAAGGACACAAGCTCAGTGTTTCATGGCCTGTAACTCCTAGCATTCATCATTATGAAGAAGCAGCAAGCCAGTACCTCGGCCATCTAATCGGACATGAAGGCGACGGAAGTTTGTTTCATGCCTTGAAAACGTTGGGTAGGCTTTCTTTGTGGAAAACGCTAAAAGCCTTTACAGTATATTCTTCATAAGAGGAGTAATAGGATCAAAAGATGATTTAGAAAATTTCGTCAAAAACTACAACTATTTTTGTTTCTTCAGTTAAAGTTCATATCTATCCAAATATTTTGTCCTGGTATCTTGGCATGGAGTATAAGCTGCACATACAAATTCAGGGTGCCTAACTAATTTCTAATTAGAGTAGAATGGGATGATTTCATTTTAGAGAATCATTACAGAAAGTGGCCGTCTTTGTCCACTAGAGATTTTCATTCTAATGTGACACTGTAATACGAATGCCCAGTTACTACGTTTAGTAGTCTTGCTTAATTCTTCATATTGCTTGCAGGTTGGGCAACGGGACTGTCCGCTGGTGAAGGAGATTGGACTCTAGACTATTCTTTCTTCAAGGTTTCGATTGACCTTACGGATGCTGGTCATGGTGGGTTTCTCTACTATATTTCTCTCAATTCTAGGAAAGTTCACAACAGTCTCCTTCTTACTTGTCCTGAATAGAGACTATGGGCGTGTTTAATGTTTAGCATGTACATGATTAATTCCTGGTTTTCCTCCTCGGTGTGTTTACAGAGCATATGCAAGATATTTTAGGGTTGCTGTTCAGATACATTCAGCTATTACAACAGACTGGTGTTTGCCAGTGGATTTTTGATGAGGTATTGCTACACTCAATGTTCTTTGAATTTGATCGTGCTAATATTCCGAATGATCCCGTCTCCTTAATGAGTTTGATATCTCTCTTGTTGTTATTGAAGCTCTCAGCTATTTGTGAGACAAAATTTCATTACCAAGACAAAACATCACCAATGTCCTATATAGTGGATATCGCATCAAACATGCAGGTAAATAATGTTTTTGCTCTTTTCTGTAAGCTTTCTAAATGTGACATGTACATAGACTGATGCTTGAGTTCATGTGTCCTTAACAATAAACGAAATATATATGCTTACCTCTGTTACCATGTCATCAACCATTACTTTAGTAGATCGTCCATATGAAGTTATGTACTGCAACTGAAGTTTGGTGATCTATATATTTAACGTACAAACCCAGGTTCATGGCTAGTATATAATAACTTGTTTTTTAATCTTCCGTATCCTTTGCAATTACGTTTCAGATATTCCCGAGCAGGGACTGGCTGGTTGGATTATCACTTCCTTCTAAATTTAATCCAGCCACTGTACAAAAGGCTGTAGATGAGCTTTCTCCTAGTAATGTTCGGTAAGTCTGTGATCTTCAACTGACCTAGAATTCTTTCGTGTAGTTGCCTATTATACACTAATTTGATGATGAAATCATGGGGTTTCACTTGAAGCTAATTCTACATTTGTTTTATTTACTCTTAAAATATCTGAGGACAATAGGCATATGATTGCTATTTTATTCGATATCTCCATCAGCTTGTTTGTAGTTTACTCTGTCCATCTTCTGTCATGCTATTAGAGTTTTCATGTTGTTAAAGCTCATTGGCACAGCCAAATTGTTGTCGAAGAATCTTGTCTAATACCATTGCTTTTGTAGAATCTTTTGGGAATCACAGAAATTTGAAGGTCAAACTGACAAGACTGAGCCATGGTATAACACTGCCTATTCTCTTGAGAAGATAAGCAGCTCCACCATCCAGGTTCGCATTTAATATGCTATACTTACTCGACACTAATTCATTTATTTTCGACGATCCAATCTCTTCCATTTCCAATTTGTTTGAACCAGTCGCTTTTGCCTTCTTAATCTTTTGGGGTTTATGTAATATAATTGCAGGAGTGGGTGCAGTCTGCCCCTGATGTAAACCTGCATCTACCAGCGCCTAATGTCTTCATTCCTACAGATTTGTCACTAAAGGATGCTAAGGACAAGGTTCAAGTTTTCACCACACGATTTTCCTTTTGTGTCTGTAATGTATGAAGCAGTGTTCTTACCCGATCAAATTCTGGAACAGGGGACTGTCCCGGTTTTGTTGAGAAACTCGCCTTTCTCAAGATTGTGGTACAAGCCAGATACGATGTTCTCGAAACCAAAGGCATATTTTAAGATGGATTTCAACTGCCCACTTGCAGTCAACTCTCCTGACGCAGCAGTTCTTACGGATATCTTTACGTGGTTACTGATGGACTATCTAAACGAATATGGTAAGATCTAATAGATATACAATAAAAACAAGAGTAAAGAAACATAGCTTCGATATGGATATTATATCATGAGAACTGACCCCTTACTCTTTGCACCTTCTATGTTGTAGCTTATTATGCACAAGTTGCTGGTCTTTACTATGGAGTGAGCCTTTCAGACAATGGTTTCCAGGTGAGTTTGGCATTTACCTCATTTATGCCACGCGTATTTGCTCGTCCTCTGCGCTATGCATTTTTTTCTTTTTTCTTTTTCTGACTAACTGTTTTCTTTCTTCCAGTTAACTCTTCTTGGTTACAATCACAAATTGAGGATCTTGCTGGAAACTGTTATTGAAAAGATGGCAAATTTTGAAGTTAAACCTGACAGGTTTTCGGTTATCAAGGTGACCAGACTTTGTCTCTTTTAATTACTTAAGTTAGCAATCAGACGACATTCTCTGTACCATGATAATTGAATCTGCATTATTATGTTTCCGTATCCTTTACTAGGAAACTGTCACAAAGGAGTATCAAAATTACAAATTCCGACAGCCATATCACCAAGCAATGTATTACTGCTCGCTGATACTACAAGATCAGACCTGGCCTTGGACAGAGGAGCTAGATGTCCTTTCTCATTTGGAAGCTGAAGATGTAGCTAAGTTTGTCCCAATGTTGTTATCAAGGACATTTATAGAGTGTTATATAGCAGGTAATGAGATTACGTTTGTTTTTTCCCCTTGAGTTTCTTTTTATCGGAAGCTTTCTTGGTGTTGATATATATATATCCATGCTTCATCTCAGGTAATGTGGAGAATAACGAAGCTGAGTCAATGGTCAAGCATGTTGAAGATATTCTATTTAATGATCCAAAGCCGATTTGCCGACCTTTGTTCCCATCCCAACACCTGACTAATAGAGTTGTAAAGCTCGAAGAAGGAATGAGGTATTTCTACCACCAAGATGGCTCCAACCCCAGTGATGAAAACTCTGCCCTAGTACACTATATTCAGGTACTTCCTTTAGAAGATGGCTTTTGAATTTATTCTTAGTATTGACCAGTTGTAGGTGTTAGATGAAGCCTCTTCGTGTAGATATAGAGATTCGTACATATTATTGTTTCGGCTAACTGAAACTTTGTTTGCCACGAATAGGTTCATAGAGATGACTTTGCCATGAATATTAAACTTCAGCTGTTTAGTCTCGTGGCAAAGCAAGCCACCTTTCATCAACTTAGAACGGTCGAGCAACTTGGTTACATCACTGCACTTGCTCAGAGGTAATATCTGAATATTTCTCCCATTTCCTAATTATACCCTCTGGATACGGTCTAATCACTCTTTTCTGCAACGTAGGAACGATTCTGGTATCTATGGTGTACAGTTCATTATTCAGTCATCAGTGAAGGTACCAAAGCATGCCACTTGAGTCAGTTGAAATTTCTTAATGAACTCTTAATGCTCTCGTCTGTAACTTCCTCGGGTAATTATGGCTTTAACAGGGTCCTGGACATATAGATTCGAGGGTGGAGTCATTACTGAAGAACTTTGAGAGCAAGCTTCGCGAGATGAGTGATGAGGAATTCAAGGTGAGATGGGTGAACCAGTTGGTTATATTTCTCAAGTAATCTATAGCTATTCTGCAACATCGACAAGGGTTTTATGAACTGACAACATGAGTTTACTCTTCCCCAAGAGCAATGTAACAGCTTTGATAGACATGAAGCTTGAGAAGCACAAGAACTTGAAGGAGGAATCCCGGTTTTACTGGCGAGAGATTCAAAGTGGAACACTCAAATTCAACCGTAAAGAGGCAGAGGTACATAATACACACTTGAATAATTGAAATCACTTGTAGGATTAGTTCAAGTTAGTAAGAAGTTGTTTGGGAGCAACAACTAATTATTGATGGGAGAAATGGGGTGTTTGCTTGTGGACAGGTTGATGCGCTGAGGCAGCTTCAGAAGCAAGAGTTGATAGATTTCTTTGAGGAATACATAAAGGTTGGAGCAGCGCAGAAGAAATCGCTGAGCATAAGAGTGTACGGGAGCCAGCATTTGAAAGAGATGGCGAGTGACAAAGATCAAGTCCCATCACCATCTGTTGAAATCCAAGATATTGTTGGTTTCAGAAAGTCTCAGCCTCTTCACGGCTCCTTCAGGGGATGCGGACAACCCAAACTGTGAGGGGCTGAATCTCGTCGTTTCACTATACAAAGACTATTTTTTTTTCTGTTCTTTTTATCCCTTGTGGTTGTAAGAACAATCAATATCGGTTTTGTCATCGATTGCTAGAAAACAGAGATTCAAGCCGAGAAAACTTTGATGACTCTAATGATTCTACTAGCCTTTGTCATTAAATACACAGAGAGGATAATTGATGCGTTTGTTTTATGATCTTTGATTGTTTCCTTAAGAAAAATTCAGAGGATCCTGGAATAAGGGAACCTTCTGTTGGAGAAAGAAGCTTCTTGTGTTTATGGTTTTGTTTGTATACACTTCATTGATCTTAATTTTGATTTATGATGGGAAGCAGTTTTCTAGAATCTTATTCTATTTTGATAAGAAGCAATTTTGTTCTTTTATTATTTAACAACCATTATTATTGATATAACAAAAATGGTATTTGCTACTTCTGTCTTGCCATACTCATACTGAATACTAATTATTTCATTTTAGCTTGCTAATACTGAATAGTGTCGAAATAAAAATTGGATCATTTATTTCATTTCTGAAAATTCAATAATATTGAAAAGAGATACTGCAGCCTAGAAACAATCAGCTAAAATTTTGGTTCATTCAATGAACTTCATTGGTTATATAAACTTCTATCATAACTTCATTGTTATAGTTTTCATTATAATAACCTATATCACAACCAACTCATAACGTAATATAAACAGAAGGTGAGACAAGGAGGATAAAGTCTGACCTGCCTCAAGCACCAGCTTAGTTTGTCATGCAACCTACAGAGAACATGTAGAAGCATATTATGAAAAAATGACAATCCATTTGATGTTCATAATTCTTCAGGAATGCTTGTGTTATACACACATTTGTTGAGATTTTAAATAATTTTTTCAGAAGGAAGGAGATGAAAACCAAGATTTTGTACCTTGTAAACAAAGGGCTCATGCTTTCCTCCTGCGCCAGACCTCTTCACATAACCCATCTTCAACAGCCTGCATCAGGATATATGAACAATCATGCAAAAAAAAAATGTGTGCATCCATGTCTTGGATTCCCAAAATTGAACTTGTTTGATGAAATGGATCCTTCATCGTGTTAAATCCTGTCACAAGCTTTTGCTTCTGTGTTATGTTTGTGTGTGAGAGTGTAAGGAACAGTAACAGAGAGAGAGAGAGAGAGAAGCAGAGTATGTACATTCTGAGAGCTTTGCTTGTATCTGCACTATCTCCCAGCACCTGGCGGATCTTAACTTCAGAAGAGCAGCTCGTGGAGAGAAACTCCAGGATCTTCACTGCTCTACGGCGAACGGAGCTCGACCTGTAGCTCTCTTTCTTCTTTGAATCTCTGTGTGGTTTCTCTTGAGTTATGGTTTTGATTCTGCTTTCTGTGCTTGAGATCTCACTCGAACCTGTTGACAAACACGATTCTTCTCTGGAGTCGCTGGAGCGATCATCAAACTCTGGATCCTTTGAATGCGTTGGCTGTAAATCAGCTGAGCTCCAAATCACACTTGTGCGACGTTTTTTCGCAATCTGCATAGCACTCAGTCATGGAACAACTGAATCAAATCCCCAGAATGCTATACAGAATCGAAACGAGAAGAAATTTCAAAAGTTATCGCCGAGAAAAATTCAAATTCCAGAAAGATCGATCAGTCTCTGGTAAAATCAAACATCCAGATTTTCAAATTACGAACAACCCACCGATACCGCTAACAAAACGAAAATCGAATTCAACATAGTAGAATCCATTATCTAGCGAATCGAAATCCAAAACCGAGATTGATGATATATCGCACCTTGAAATTCATGAAGCCATCCTCAGAGCTCTTCCGAGACGAGCCATTGTTGGAGATAGCGGAGTCGCACGATCTCGTTCCGGTGGACACGAAGCTCAAGCTCAAGCCTCCTTCACCATAGCTTTCACCCACCGAGAAATTTTTCCCCTCAGATCCAGATCTATCACTATCAGAAGCAATTTTCAGAAACAGCAAACACACAGAAATTATGAAGAGAGGCATTTCGACTCCGCGCTTCATACTCTGGACTCAAAATCAAAACGCATATACCTTGAAGAAGAGAAGAAAAACGGCCCAGAGGAAAGGAGGAGAAGAGAAGACGCCGCTTCTCTATCGATCGAAGAAGGAAACTCAGACATCTCCGATCTTAGCTTCCAAACCAAGTATTCTCTGCGTTTCTTCTCACTGGCGCGATGATCTGAGCTCTCTTTCTATTTTTTGAATTCTCTCTATCTCAGTCTCTGAGGGTAATGATCTCTCTCTCCCTCTTGATGGGCCCTACAATATCCAAGCTTGGACTACTTATGAGCCCATTATAAAATTCTCTAAGTTCTCCCTCCCTCTTGATGGGCCCTTCAATATTCAAGCCTGGACTACTTATGAGCCCATTACAAATTTCTCTAAGTTCTCCGGCCTGGTTAATACCGGAGTTATAATTTTTAAGTTTAGTTTTATCCTTTAATATTAAGAGGTTTGTTATAGCTTTACACTTTCACAAGAAAGTTGACTTGTTTTGTGTTTTTCCTTTCCTATTAACTATTTAGTATTGAGAAAAAAAGTCTTGAAAACATGCAGCCGAGGATAGCTATCTTCCGTTCTTCATGCAGCAAAGGGGCACATGAGCAGAAATAATAGAGATTACGAAGCTTTTGAAAGACTTAATACACTCTGCTAGTTTTCAGAAATTATATAATATTTTTTTCATGACGTATGATAATCAAAATCAAATTTTTTTAGAATTTAGCCAAAGACTAGATAATACATAAAATAGTCAGACATAAAATAGCCAACCAAAGACTAGATAATGTATAAAATAGTCAAACTAGGTAATTTTAGAATTTGGCCAAAGACTAGAATTTAACAGTTTTTTCTTTCTTAATATATTGTGTGGAGCAAGATCTACTTTTCGTTTGCTGTTTTTAACTTTTTAGTTTGTTTGTAGGATGAACAAGTTCTCGAGAGATTTGGGTATGAGTTGAAGATCCCAAATGTTTTGGAAAGATTTGGACAAAGCTTAGAGGCTGTTATGGAGAATATTGGCGAGATGAATGTAGCTGAGCTGGATGAATTTCTTCTCATGATGAAAAATCTGCTGGAAGTGGTGAAGAACAATATTCATAAACTGGAGGCAGTAAAATTTTGAAGTGTTATTCTATATATGCGATTTCTGATTAATTTCTTTGTTTAGTATTTTTAATGTTTCTAGTATTTTGTCAGCCTTGTATTGTAGCTTGTCGTAAACTTATGACATCTTGGATTGTACTGAGTCTGTTCAGTTAGATTTTAATTAATGTAAGATACTGTCTTATAACGAAAGATTTATATCTGATTTCTATTATCCGAAACATTATCACCAGCACACCAATCTCAACCATTTTATTATATTAATCTGTAAAAGATTTTTAATAAGATTCTGATCTTCCAAGTGTTGTCTTTTTGTTGTGCAAAAATAGTTCAAATATTGTCTATCTTTCTAAAAAGAGGATTTTTTTTTGTTTGGATGAGGAAAACAACAGAAATTTTTTTTTTATGCGAAACACTTTTATATCTCTAAGTAAAGATAATATTTGTTTCATCCTCTGATATCTCGGCATAGATAAGAACAAATCGAAACAGTTTCTACTAGTCATCAAGAATATTAGAGATAGCGACGCTTTTGAAAGACTTAAATACACTCTGCTAGTTTTTGGATTTCATATAATATATCTTTCATAACGTATGATAATCAAAATCAAATATTTTAGAATTTGGCCAAAGACTAGATAATGCAAAAACCACAAATGTAAAGAAAGGTTTATTGAGCATTTTTCAAAATTCTCCACCGCTTGAGTAATTGGTTACGTTCCTTCTCCCTTCTCTTCGTTATCTGCAAAAAAAAGTTTCACAAAACAAAAACATGAGGTTACAAACAATAAAAAATAATTTCAGTGCTATGATTCTGCAGCCAGCAAATTCTAGTATATCGATTGTGCTATTGCAATTCATTACATTTAAAAGATATGATAAAACAAATAGAATGAATGGTACCATGATGGCGTCGTATAGGTTACTACTCCTACGGGACATCATTGATTTGGCCATAGCAGCAACATCTTGAGCGATTTGCGTATTTTCTGCATCAGCTTCTGAATCTTCACCCTCACCTTCATTCATCACAAGCGCACCTCCATTCAGTTCCGACATGAGTTCCTCATGGTATTGCCTCTCCAGCGCCGCAATCTACATTACATATATCCCCAAACACACAAAAAGTAAAAACATAACACGCTTGAGTTACACTTCATATCTACATACAGTTACAAGTCAAACCTTCCTCCTGTCTCTAGCAGCTTCGGCTTCCTCAGTACGGCTCATAACACCAGCGTATAACAAGTTTTGAGGATCTTCTTTCGCAGCACCTGGCAACGGAAGAACGTCGTTCCTGGCTGCTGCTTGATACCTTCTTATGATTTCAGCATATTCAGGAACATATCCTTCTGCTTCATTGTCCACAAATGGTGACAGGTGCGGCGGTAATTCCCTGTTTGCACACAACTAATGTTTAAACAGCTAACAAGAAATGAGTAAAGAGTGTTGTGATTTTGTGAATGTGTTGCCTTCCGACGATATACTTTTGAGCTGGCAAGATTATTAGAGCATTTACGCAGTCATAGATCCACTGTGGTTGAACATATTCCCTCGAGAGATACATATGACCTGAGCTTGGCTTATCGATGATCTACACAGTAGAATGGATGTTATCTATCTGCACTTTGGGAGACAACAAGCTAATTAAAATGGCTTCTTACATGATGTGTAATACTCTCATCATCCTCCTTGAAAGGTGCACCTTCTCCTTCCCAGGACACTCTCCCACCAAATGCACCAATTACAAAAAGGAGGGACTCTCTTGGAACCTACATTATAATTATACAAGAGACTCATGATTTATCTTCTCGGTAACTCGAGAAATGATTCAATAACATACCTCGCGGCTCAAAAAAAACTTGAGGTCTTTGAAGAGTGACTTGCACGCTCTTGTTTCTTCATCCTCTTCAACCTCTTTGTCTGCAACGAGATGCATCAATGAAGGCAGCTGGTGCTCAAGTTGCGCAAGTCTCAGATCAGACTCTTCGCGGTCGTTTGACTGTGAGCTAGATGAAGCATCAACTTTCATGCCTCTGGAGCTAGCATCTATGTATCTTGACAGTGCGTAGAGATCTGCAACATTCAAGACATGCCCAAATGTTATTTAGAGTAAAACTTCCCAACATATAATAGTTTACATATCTAAGGAAAATCATAGCTGCTTGAAAGAGGACAACATACCTGCAGCCAAAGCCTCTAACTGAGAATCAAGGATTGGTGGATATTTCACATTCAGAGAATGGTAAAGCTTAAGGTTTACAAAGGCAAGAAGCGTCTGCATGAAAAGTTGTAAAGACGCCATAAATTGATCATACAAAACTGTTGAACTAAGTTAGCAAATGACAGGGGAAAAACAAGTCACCTCATAAAATTCCAAGAATGTTAGCAGGACGCCAAAGTCAACATCATTTGTAAAGACTTGTTGTATTGCATGTGGGGTCAACCAAGTGATCTTTTGACCTTCTACTTCAGCCTATTAAGACAGTTAGAAAAAGTTGAAGTAGTCCACAAACTCTATTACAAAAATTTCAACAGGATAAAAAGTAACACAGTACCTGATAATATATGCCCTTAACAGAGACAAACACTTTCCGTAATGCATGATTACGAGAAATGTAAGCTTGCCACTCATGGCTCAATCTAATTCACAAAAATAAGCTTATGAATATGAGAATACCAGAAGCTGGCAAAAAGCAAAGACCAAGTGACTTATAAGTGAAGAGATAAAAGATTCTGACCTTCTACAGTTGTGGACTCGTTTAACGTCAAGCTTTTCCCTGTCCGAAGCAGGCAACACCGCGAAAAGATGAACCATCGTAAGACAGTCATCCAAGTCGCGTAGTGCATCAATAAAAGTGGGATACCTACAACACAGACAGGAATGGGGTCTAAACTCGGGCATGTCCAGACAAAGCTCTAGATTCAAGTGTCTGCAGCAAACCTTTCGTGGATCAATCTATCAAGCTTGTAAGTGGGTTGTCGGGTAAGCAAAAGGCGTGCGAGCTCCTCGTTTTTCTTGGCCTTGGCTTTTACTACCTTCTTTTGGTATGTTCTAACTTCTCTGAACTTCTCAAGGAGCGGCTCATGCTGAAGGAAAGAAATATCCTTCACATGGTAGTAAGTGTGATGGTTTCCCTTCACCTTCTTCTTCGGTTCTCGGGGAAATATACCTTTGACAATACATAGTCTCCTGAAAAATCCCAAATCGGTAGATACAATCAATTGAGCAACGCATGACCTCAAAGACCTAGTGCAATGACTCCAAGAGAAGAACAGAGAAGGTGAAAGAGAAACAAAGTAAGAGAGTGAACCTGAATAGGTTTAACTTAACTTGAAGGTGCTTCAGTGCTTGCGACCTGGTCATATACCTAGCGGCATTTCCTTCCTTCTTCTTTCCCTGAAAAAGACCAGTACAGCACCAAATTGTCAAACAAATGAAAAACGAATCTACATCATAACAGCTCTAATCAACGAATCATAGGAACAATACAGCTTCAATCCAACAAAAACACTCACCGCTGGCCTATAATGCTTCGGCATGGTGAAACGCCACCAAAGAGGGAGGGAGAGAGGAAAATCGAGAACTAGGGTTTTAGGCAAAACCAAAATATAGTTACGTCGGGTGCAAGAGACGGCTATATAAATGGGCTTCTTAGGGCCAACTTGACTCCTAAACTTGTTCTTGCGTGGTTTTTTACGACAATGGGTTTCAAGGCCCAATAGTCTCATTGTCTCAAAAATAATGTGGGATGTTTTTGACAAATTTTTAGTAATAAAACCCCCTAACTAAATATGAATCGTAAAAAAAACCCTCAATTATTAACTTAATAAAGAAACCCCTCAAGTTCAATTCCGTTAATCATTATCAACCTCCGTTTACAGTTTCGTCAAAATTGGACGGAACACTGTTAAAATTAAAATGGCATGTTTTTGTTCTTCATCGTCTCTTCTTATTGAAAAGAGATGGGATCGAGAAATCTCCAAATTGAAAGTTAGGGTTCTTCGTCCAACATTACCATTGAAGCTCATATAAGTGGAATTTTTGTTCTTTTAAATGCAACTATCTGTCTTTGCGTCTGATTCTATGTTTGGCGTCCATCACTAAAGCTGGATTCGCCAAACTCAAAAAATCGTTGCCCCAATTCGCTGGATTTTCTTTTGAAATCGAAATAATCATCTAAAGAAATCACTCACAATCTCTCCCAATCAACTTCAAAAACACATAAACTTTAAAGAATCTCAGTTTCAGAAATTAGGGTTCATTGATTTAGCTTTCTGTTTCAGAATTCTTTGAGACACGATGAATTGGAGGTTTTTAGGATCGAATTTTTAAACAACATGGTGTTTTGGTTACAAATCGTGTTGTTCTAATATAAAGAAAACATGTCGTCTTCCAGTTAATAAAACGCAGCGTTTGATTTTTAACAGCATCCCGTTCACTTTTGACGCTACTATAGACGGAGGGTGATAATAATTAACGGAATTTAATTTGAGGGGTTTTATCATTACATTAATAATTGAGGGGTTTTATTACAATTCATTTTTAGTTGGGGGATTTTATTACTAAAAACCCTATTAATAACATGCATCACTTTTTTTTTTTTTTTTTCAAATACAATCAAGTCCAAGTCCAAGTGTTCTCTATCTTTCTAAAGAGAGAAATTTTCTGTTTGGATGAAGGGAAAGAACAAAAAAACTTTTTCATGCGAAGCACTTTCATATGTTAAGTAAAGATAACATTTGTTTCATCTTCTGATATCTCGGCATAGACAAGAACAAATCAAAACAGTTTCTACTAGTCATCAAAAATATTAGAAATTTTTGTAATTAGTTATTTAGAAAAAATGGCATACCTGCATGACTAAACTTGTTGAAGAAAGAGAACACATCTAGTAAGCATGTCTCACAACCACGTGATGCAAGAAGAAGGAATCATCAGATGCAAAATGTGATACGAATGGAAATTTGATTGTAATTGACGCAGATTTAAAAGAGAAAATGCCAAAAAAATGTCACCCACACATTTTATGGAAAACCACAGAGAGTTGTGTTTCCAGCATGACTAAACTTATTGAAGAAAGAACACATCTAGTAAGCATGTCTCACAAACACGTGATGCAAGATGAAAGAATCATCAGATGCACATCCTGGGAAGGTGAAAACATTCCGAGACCATTTTACGAGTCCCTCAATCATCTGAAAAGCACGTCTCTGCAAAAAGCACATCAAACCTGCGTTTTTCAATAAGAGAGTTTCATATGGTTATTGGATTGAAGTATTCAATTTGGACTCCTCAAGCTGCTCTAGAAAAAATAGTGCCTATGATTAGAATGACTTGAAGACAAAGTCTCACTCAACTAAAGACCTCATCAATAAGATGCTCAGAGCTGAAAAAGATGCTTTTGATGAAAAGTTTTCCTTAGGAATATTTGTGTTGATAGAGTCTATGCTCTTTGGGAGATACAAAAAATACAAATTTCCAAAAAGTTACATAGAGAGAGCGCAAGACATGAACACTCTGCTGAACTATCAGTGGGGGAAGGAAGCGTATGAGTTGTTGTTGTCATCAATCAAGTCAAGGGTGCCATCACATTTGGATAAAGCGAAGTATGTTATTCAGGGTTACCCATTTATCTTGCACTTGTGATTGCTAGAATTGGTTCCTATGCTCCAGTCTGCCTTTTCAACAGTCAGTAATAGTACAAGAAATACAAATTTTAACAAACATACAAATTATTGTATAAAATATAAGAGAGAATTATTAATAGAAGAATTTGTAATGATTGTTAAAATATTAAGATTTCATTGTTATTGGTAGATGGATTTTAACATTTTTACTAAAATTCATTCTTATAAGTGTAAAGATTTTCAAATTCTATACAAAATTCATTATTATTCAAAAAAATTAGTTTTTAATAATTCTATCAATTTATAAAATATTTATTATTAGAACAAAAATTGTTAACAATTAACTTTCAAAATACTATCTACATACCTTATATTCTTAAAATCATTATAATAAGAGATTTTGATAAATTTTCTAAATATTTATAACTCTCTTTAAATCTAACAAACTCTTTATAAATTTAACAAATCTTTCAACTTTTAAAATCATCACAACTCTATCTAAATCTTACTCCTACTAACACCTCCTGAATCTTTTAATTTGATAAAAAAAATTAAAATATTTAAAAATAGTGAACACAATTTTTACGGTAAAAATAGTAAATATTTAAAAATGCATATTTTCATCCTCGTATATCTTTTGTAGTATTTATCTAGCATGTAAAAAGTAGCCGAGAACTGTGTATCTCATTAAATAAAACACTTTTGCTATTTTAATTTGTTAACTTAGCTTTGCTTTATGTGATGGCTTGCCTGGTCCTACAAGATTACAGCAAGAATTACTGTTTAGTTGTCTCTTTGGGATAAAGAAGAAAACCCGCAAGTGTGTGCGTGCCATTGACCTTACAGCTCACAGACCCGATTTCGCTTTCGAAGCTTTTGCATTGCATTGAAGCTTAAGCAACGTCAATTCCAACTGCAACAACAACCGCATTACATACGCTTGCAGACAAGAGACCAACCCTTCTCTTTTTTTGTTCTGGTGGAAGAAGATTCACAAATCTCTCAGGCTGTGAAGTTATTCTGATTCAGAAAGTTTTTGAAACTTCTCCGATGTTGGTTCAGGATCGTGCGGCGCCGTCTCCTCTCAAGCCGCCGAAATCTCAGATCAGAGAGCTACCTACTCATCAGCAGATCCGACGATTCAGTGAACCCAAAAACCTAGATTTCTCGTCTTGGGTCTCGGAGAATGTTTCCAGAATTGTCATCTTCTTTCTCTTCATCGTCACCATAGCAGCTTTCTTCTTCCTCTACAACACCACCGACACTGCTTCCCTCCTTTGTTTCCAGTCACAGTCAACTCAGTCGCTTCAATCTCTCTCTCGCCCACAAATCAAGTGGAGCTCGATCCAGGTCGTCCCCGACAAGACCTCCCCGTACGCTAATTTCCTGACGGGGAAATGGATCGTGGTGTCGGTGACCAAGTACCCGACCGAGGAGCTCAAGAGCTTGGTGAAGATCCGTGGATGGCAGGTTCTGGCGATCGGAAACTCAGTGACCCCCAAGGATTGGAGTCTTAAAGGTGCCATCTTTCTGTCTCTCGATGCTCAAGCCGAACTGGGTTTCCGCGTTTTAAATCACTTGCCTTACGATTCCTTCGTGCGGAAGAGCGTCGGTTACCTCTTCGCGATCCAGCACGGCGCCAAGAAGATCTACGACGCGGATGATCGTGGTGAAGTGATTGATGGAGATCTAGGGAAGCATTTTGATGTGGAGTTAGTAGGCCAAGATGCTAAGCAAGAGCCGATTTTGCAGTACAGTCATGAAAACCCCAACAGGACTGTGGTGAATCCTTACATTCATTTCGGACAACGTTCGGTTTGGCCTAGAGGCTTGCCATTAGAGAATGTAGGTGAGATTAATCACGAGGAGTATTACACTGAGGTTTTTGGTGGTAAGCAGTTTATACAGCAAGGGGTTTCGAATGGTTTACCTGATGTGGATTCGGTGTTTTACTTCACCAGGAAGACGACTTTAGAAGCCTTTGATATTAGGTTCGATGAGCATTCTCCTAAAGTGGCGTTGCCTCAAGGTGTGATGGTCCCGGTTAATTCGTTTAACACTCTTTACCATTCGTCGGCGTTTTGGGGATTAATGCTTCCTGTTTCGGTTAGTTCCATGGCTTCTGATGTGCTGAGAGGGTACTGGGGGCAAAGGCTATTGTGGGAGCTTGGTGGTTATGTTGCTGTTTATCCACCTACGGCTCACCGGTTTGATAGAATCGAGGCTTACCCTTTTGCAGAGGAGAAGGATCTTCATGTCAATGTTGGTCGTTTGATAAAATTTTTACTTGCTTGGAGATCAGAGAAGCATAGTTTCTTTGAGACGATCCTTGATTTGAGCTTTGCTATGGCTGAAGAAGGGTTTTGGACAGAACAGGATGTGAAATTCACAGCTGCTTGGCTTCAGGATTTGATTGCTGTCGGCTACCAGCAACCGAGGTTAATGTCACTAGAATTGGATCGCCCACGAGCAAGCATCGGTCATGGGGATAGAAAAGAGTTTGTTCCTAGGAAGCTGCCTTCGGTTCATCTTGGGGTTGAGGAGACAGGCACAGTGAGCACGGAGATAGGGAACTTGATCAGGTGGAGGAAGAACTTTGGGAATGTTGTGCTTGTTATGTTTTGTAACGGTCCCGTTGAACGCACCGCTCTCGAGTGGAGGTTACTCTACGGCAGAGTATTCAAGACCGTCGTGATACTGTCTTCTCAGAAGAACTCGGATCTCTATGTCCAAGAAGCCAAAATCGATCACATTTACAAGTAAGTATTTTCCCTAAGATAAAGTATATGTTGATTTAGAATTCAAGCTTCTAACGGTAAGTTTAAATGTGTATTTCAGGCATCTACCCAAGATATTCGATCGATACAGCAGCGCAGAAGGATTTTTGTTTGTTGAAGACGATACGATTCTCAATTACTGGAATCTACTTCAAGCCGACAAGACCAAGATTTGGACTACGGACAAGGTATAACAATTGTCATCAAATTGTCGGTTATTATTTTGTTGCTACCTCGATGTGGAGTATCTTATAAGGAAGCTTCTTGTTGTGAACCGGCGATTAGGTATCGAAGTCATGGACATCAGTGAAACCGACCGGGAAGTCTGATTGGTTTAATGTACAAGCCGAGTTAGTGAAGAGAACTGTGAGTACAATGCCGGCTCATTTCCAAGTTAACTACAAGGAAGCCGCCAAGAACAGTCACGACACCTTAACGGTATGCAGTTCAGAGGTTTTCTACGTGCCTAAACGATTTGTGACAGACTTTGTCGATCTTGTCGATCTCGTGGGAGATATGGACTTGCATTACAAAGTGGCTGTGCCTATGTTCTTCCTGTCGATGGATTCTCCTCAGAATTTTGACCCGGTTCTTGGTTCGATGGTATATAAGAGGAAATCGTCTTCGTTTAACTCTTCTTCGAGTCTGTATTCTGCTCAAGCACCTGCGGTTCACCCATGGAGCATATCGAGCGAGCAAGATTTCATCAAATTGGTTGGACAAATGGCTGAAGGTGACCCATTACTTATGGAATTGGTATGATGATGATGATGAGTCAGGGTATAGAGATTGCATTAAGGCAAATATAGAAACAGAGTTATACGAAGAAGACTGTCTTTAATTCTTTTCTTTTTGGTTCCCTTTTCAGAAATTTTTTTCTTTCTGGGGGTTGTGGAGAAAGTCATGTAATGTTTCCATTGTAACCATACATTTTGTGAGTGTATAATGTTTCCCCGTCTAAAATCAGTCTCTGCTTCAACAACAATGTAAGAGTTGTGATCCAGTTTTGATCCCACAAAGAAGAAACATCGGAATGTTAAGGAAGCTTGGTGAAGAGATCCTGAAGCTGAGTGTGGCTCACCACAACGCCAAGCTTCTGTGAAATTGCAGCTGTCACAGTTTCGGTATCCAAGCTTGACAATGTATCCGCACCGCTCATGGTAATGTACTCGCTCAAATTGTGCAAGATTCCGTCTAGAGAAGCAAAAATAAATACGAGCTGAGGCAACGAACATTGTTGATGGGAAGGGTGAAAGGTTGGTGCATCTTACCTTGAGCAACAATGGGTTGATAGGGTGGAGGTTGAGCAGTCCAGGTTCCATCAGGTTCTTTCATGTGTCTTCTATCAGAGGCAAAGTGCTTAAAGAAGAGAGGAGCATGCACAATGCGAAAGAACCTGAGAGCTCAGTGATACAACAAGATAAAGAAGTTCTCAGTGATAGAAAAGTAATCATCATATAGGTTACTTTGATGGTAAAGTGATGCGAGCGAGAGATGTACCTCTGATATTCTGCAAAGAGCTGAAAAGATAGCTGGATAGTTTCAGTCACGTATGAGGTTAAAGGTGAAGGGAAAGGCAAAGTCGAATCGAGATCCCACACCAAAGGCTCAGAATCACTTTCTTTCTTCCTCTATTCACGCAAATAGATAAACCAGAATCAAGGCTGGTTCCCAAAACGATACATTCGATAACAAGTTCAAGGCTTGGATATTATTATGGTTTTACCTGGACGCAGATGACATGATAATCCCACAGTACAATCCCATCAGCTCTGCTACTAGCTTTCTGATGCCAAAGTGGAACCTACACCAACATCTCTATTCAACATTATCGACTCATGGACATGGAAACATACACACTCTGATTACCAAATTAAGAGCTAACATAACAAACTACAATGAAACAAAGACATGCTTGCCTGTTTCTTCTCATTCGAGATGAAAACAACAAACAGATCGGAACCCGTCGCATCCGCTACACCATTCTCGCACAACGTCTTGCAGAGCAGATACACGTTCTCTTCGCTACATAAGAAGAAAAAAAAAGTCTTAACATAAAAAAAAAGAAGAACATATTCATTCTTCTTTAAGTTCTACTTCTACTAATAACCACCAAAAGACAGTAGATTCTCCAAAGGATGAACGAAATCAACTAAAACCCAAAAAAGGGTTATCTGGGTTTAAGCAATTATGTAAAACAAGTAGCATAAGCTGATCTATCATCTGAAGAAAATCTAAATCGAAAGAGAATTCTGAAAGCAAAAAGATGGGCAAGAAGAAAACCAGTAGTAAGGAGTGTGTTGGAACCGAGTAGCATCCATTTCCGGGAGCTCCGAGGCCACACTGGACATTTGTTCTTTGGATTTGATCACTGCTCTTCTCTAATTTTCTTACTTCCACCAATTTTGATCATATAATTAGCAAATGGTGAACGGAGACGGAGAGAGAACAAAAAGTCATGACCTCCACGACGTCGTTTAGCAGATGACCCAACACGACGTCGTTTAGCAGATGACCCAACACGACGTCGTTTAGCAGATGAACCCAACACGACGTCGTTTAGCAGATGAACCCAACACGACGTCGTTTAGCAGATGACCTCTTCTTTTCCAATTAAAATTGCAAATTCGCTCGTGCGACAGAGCAGTGACGATGGAGGAGCAACACGCGAATCGCCGGCAGATCTGCAACAGCTGCGATCGTCCGAATCCGATTTGTCTCTGCCACGTCATACCGGCGGATCTAATTCCGACGAGGACAGAGATCGTCATCCTCCACCATCCACACGAGTCACGGCACAAGCTCAACACCACGCCTCTCCTCTCCAAATCCTTACGCCACGTCACCAGGATCCCCGGCCGCCGCCTCCGCCGCCGCGACATCGAAACCTCACTCGCATCATCGCCCATCATCTACCTCTTCCCTTCTTCTCCTTCCTCTCCCGCCGTCACCATATCCGAATACAAATCCTTAAACCTCCTGAACCACCAAGGGATTTCAAATCCTCCGCCGCTGAGGCTCATCGTATTCGACGCGACGTGGAAACACGCGAAGGAGATGGTGAGGGCTAGCGAGGAGGTTCTAAGGGAGGCAGGTGCGGTGAGGGTGTGTTTGGATGAGGGAATAGACGCGTCGGTGACCGGAGGAAGCATCTATGATTCGGAGCTTGTGCTGAGGAGGGAGCCGTTCGGCGGATGCGTAAGCACGGCGGAGGCAGTGGCGCGGTGCTTGGGAGCCATCGAGCCGGACGGAGAGGAAATCGAGAGGAAGCTGATTAGTGTTCTGAAAGAGATGGTGAGGTTGCAATCTGAGTTCTTGAAGCCCATGAAACCAAGGCCTAAGTTATTGAAAAAGAGATTTCAGAATCAGCAACCAGTCGAACAAGAAGAAGAAGAAGATTGAGTTGAGTTACGTCTTTTATCGTTTTCTTTTAGTTTCTGTAATTTAGCGAAATTTTTGCTCTGGATTGTTTATGAAATTTTAATTACATTTAATCAATCCATACTCTTGTAATATTAACTATTTCTACATTAAAAATTACACAATGAGAAAAACATCAAACCATTCCGTAAATTTTGTGAATTTCTCTGGTGAATTTTGGATCAAGTTCAAACGGTATTTCTCTTTTTTTATGTAGTAGACTTTATAGTAATAACAACTTGGGACATGGGACATTCCCACGTGACGTGACAAATTGAGGCGAGTTCGTGGACCATGTTGGGATGAGATCACATATAATAACTTTGGGAATTTAGATATGTGGGTGACACTTTTTAATTACACACTCACTGACTCACATGTTATGTTTTTCGCTTTTTAGTCCCGATGTTATAATATATGGCCTAATTCCTAAAGCGCATAATACTCAATCATCAAAAAAACGTATTCAATAGATTCATAATCCCTTTTTGTGGTCCATATTCAACCTGGAGATCAAAATTAGTCCGAGTCATTGTTTTGAATGAGTCACTTCTTTGGTATATGATTCAACACAACACTGGTTCCTAGCCACTACAAAACGAATAACCAAACACATCGATGGTCGAGACTCGAGTCTAGTGAATAGGGTAATATCGACTTAGTTTAGTGACTTGACTCTATTCAATCCAAATATCTATTCGAGTAAACTCTTATTCTCTCTTTCTAGTGTTTTCGCATTATTTATATTTTTCGTACCAATCGTATAACATGTTAGATTTCTCGAATAATAAAAAACACATTCATTGTACTCGTTGTCGACATTTTAAGTTGGTTGGTTGATATTATCAACTTTTGTTTTTTTTGATGGAGTGACCTTCAATCCTAATTTTTATTTATTTCTTGATGGTGGTAGAAATCTACTTTACGTAGTTTATATATACATGTCTTCGTGATGTTGACCAAGCAACACACACAAAGATGCATGGTACACGACTACACGAAAATCTTTTATCTACCATCTCAATCTGTGGTATTAGCTGAATTTTGTACGTTATTTTTTTGTGTGGCAACATTGCATGTAAGAATATTGTAGTTGATCGATATATATAACCGATGAACTTCCAAACGAAAAAACTAGATTAGAGAAGTTTTTGTTTTGATAAATAAGATAAGTTTATAGGTTATTAAAGGGAATTTAACATGTTGAAGTTGGTAAAGAACCAATCAGTTGATATACTTTTTTTTTTTGGTAAAATATGAAATTTTATATCATTTTAGAATTTTGACAGAAAACAGAAATAACTAAGATAGTACAAAGACCGAAAACTAATGAAAATGACGCTAGGCACACATTGAAGCTGAACAGCAGAAAGCCGAGGACGAAACACCGATTCTGAGAAACCAACACTCAGACAATTGTGCTTGCAATTCCTAAGAACTCGAGTCCTCAGTTGATATACTTTCAAATATAATATACTGGATTGTGTTTTCTCTAAGTTGTATCGCTAGTATTGTAATTTGTAAGTTATTATTAATTTGTTAATCTCCAAAAACTTTAAGGATAAAGTCAAATTAATTTATATATACTGCAATTTTTATAAGTGTGTGATATTCTCTTTACTTAAAAGAACAATATTTATTAAAGAATAATCAACATTTTTAAGATTAGTAGATTTTGTATCTAATAATCGAGCAGCAAAAGGTAAAATAAAACAACCGTTGATGATTGTAATTGATTCTGAAATCTCTTCTTCAAAGTATATGCCACAAATAAATTTCGTATATACCAAATATAAAAGATGTAAGAGTTGGAAAAAGAAAGTAGAGATAAAAGAACGAGTTATGATCCATGTCTCCATGACCTCTGCTAAAAGGCTAAAAGTAGAAAATAAGGCTGTTCTGCATTTATCTGGCTATTGTATTATTATGATTATACAATTCTTTTATTTATATCCTTCAAAAGGAGCTCAATCGTGCAATTTCACATGCTAAAAAAGGACACCATGACATGCTGAAATAGTGAAATGATGAGATCAATCTCTCCATCAACATATACATCTTATTCATTCTATACGACTTTTCTTTTCCCATCATTCTATATAATACTAACTGCGTAACTTTGAATAATAATGCATTTTGAATAGTTCTTTTTTTTTATCTGTTTTAAAATATGTATAAGATATTATCGTACATAGGTGATAGATATCATATACAAGTACTATTTCACCTATCGTTTCTTACAATCTCTTTGTTGAAATAAGTAGGTTAATATTTTTTTTTTAGGTTAATATTTTTGCCCAAAAGGTAAAACTATATTGATTTATGGTACAACGAATCCCATAAATATATACGAATGTTTAATTTTCTTACTAAATTTAAAATTGACAGCTAAATCAATCCCTTTTGACCCAAAAAAAAAAACTAAATCAATCCCTATTCTTTAATTAAAAAAAATCGATAAGTCCATCTACTACCAAAAGTGACTTAATTTTTTTTGGGGTTTAAGTTTCACCTTAATGTGGATTTTTATAATGACTTTTTTCCCACTTAAATGATTTTGGATTAAAATGCGGTAAAAATGAGAAATTGAAAAGCCAACATTGGTCGGTGGAATTACGACCGGATCTATTTCGTCGCCTTAAATTTGACAGACTCTTAACGTCTTTCTCAAACCTTTGTCTTCTCCTTCTATCTTCTATTCGTCTTCTTCTTCTTCTTCGCCTCGTCGTCGGCAATAATTCATCTCTCTACTGTAAAATCTAAGAAACACGTAACGAAAAAGCATTTGATAAAAAAAGTTAGAGGGAGAGAGAAACGTAATAACACAGCGCATACCTCTTTTCAATAATTATTCAATTCGCTTTCTCTTCTTCTTCTTCTTCCTGATTCATCTTTTCTTCTCCTGATCTTCTTTTTTTTTCCATCTCCAGCTCGTTTTCACGTTTCTTCATCTCTTAGTGCCACACACAGATCTTTCGGCAGGTACTTCTTTCGATCTGAATCGAATTGACTAATGCGGATCACCTGAATTTTCGATTTGATTGTGTTCGTACCCTGTTCTGATCACGATGTTGATCCCGCTTTGCTTTCCTTCGATTCTCGATCTGCTTAAATCGTATTAATAGCTCTCATTTGCTTGTTCAATTGTGAAAATTCTCGATTTTTCTTTCTGGGTTTCCTGAATCATCTGTGACCAATTTCTGGAAATCGCAAAAGTTTTGATTTTTTTTTTCTCGGAGAAATGAAGATTTATTGGCGCCATTGACGTTGCGAAATAATAAAACAAGAAACGAGATTTTGATAAGCTACACTGATGATGACCGGTGACTTTATATCTCAGTGATCGATCTCTTTCAGGCTTTTTCCTGGATCATGGAGTTTTTCCCATGATCACTAGCTTCCGAGATTGGATTGTAATCTTTTAAAATAAAAGCAGATGAATGCTGCGTAATCTCAAATTATAGTTAGAGAAATGAGATACACATCCACATTTAAGTTGAGCGCAATGACTGAGAGAGTTTGGTTGATCACCTTCTCATATTTTTTCCTTTGTTCCAGGTTCATTGACCTGGATTTGAGCGTTACCCAATATGTCTGGGTCAACAAAAGTATTGGATCCTGCATTTCAAGGAGCTGGACAGAAACCGTATCCTTTCAGCAAAACAACTACTTTCTCCATTGGTTTTTATATTAGTATTAGACTGTGAATGTTTTGGACTGTATGAATGAGGATGTTGAACTTAACATTTTACTAGAGGAACTGAAATCTGGAGAATCGAGAATTTTGAGGCAGTTCCAGTGCCAAAGTCTGAACATGGAAAATTCTACATGGGAGACACATACATTGTCTTGCAGGTTTGAGATTCCTTCCATTATCTCTTACAAAACAGAGTAGCTATGTATGAGAAATGTCCGCTCCTTTTGTTATTAT